CAAAATCATTTTAATGTAAAAATTGACGAAATATAAAATTCTGCTTCATTAGTTAATAAAAGAAGTAATTAACTTCATTTCAATAAATGAATTTGTCTTCAAGTTAGTTTTTTAAAAAATAATTAACTTTAGTTATATATTATTACATATATTTCTCAACAAATTGACTTTGAAAAATTGTGTGGTTGAAAATTAATTTGGAAGAGATATAATTACAAATGTCCCATATTAATTCCAAAAAGGAAAAACGAAGAAGTGTAGAATTTAATTTTTAGTCATTCAGAAAAGGTAAATCCCAAATTCATTCAAGTAAATAAAAAGATTTTTAATATTTGCCACATTGTGTTTTCGAGACAAAATATCAACTTTTTTCAATTCATTTTATTTACATCTTGATATAGAAATAAAGAATAAAATTTACATATCAAAAAACTACATGAAAAGTTTTTCGAAATAAGAGGTGTCAAGAATATTTTATTTTATCAAATAACCAATGAAAACATAGAAATAAATCAAACTTCTCGCGACTGCATAAAAAACAAACATTGCAAATAATTTGGGACGGAGGGAGTAAGATTGTTTTGTTGTGATTCTAATTCACATTTGAAATGTAGAATTTCTCATACATTCCATGAGCTGATAAATGAATATTTTTTTTGTAAAAGACATAATATTTTAGATATCAGTGTACTAAATAAAGTTCACAAGATAAGAATAAATCTTATGACAATGTAAGAATTTTCCTAATACTCAGCTGAGTCAGCTCCATCCGTCTCAATTAATCATCCTTATTTCTTTTTGAGTTGTTCTAAGTTAATCTTTCTCTTTTCTTTTTTGAAAAAGAAATCTCTCTGGATATGAGTAAAGAAGTATGAAAATTTAAGAATAGGAGTCCTAAATCTTTTAAGACAAAAACAAGTGTATAATGACAGCAGATGACAACGTGGTGGCGATAATGTGACAGTTAAAATGTGACAATGTGACAGTATAACAATGACAGTGTGGACTCCTATTTTTGTCTTAAAAGACTTATGACCCTATTTTGGTAATTTCATTGTTTTTTTACTCTTATCTAATGAGTTCTCTCTTTTTGAAAAACTTTTTGTGAGACCTTTTTTTGTTCTCTATATTACTTTTAACTATACAATTTTATTTTTCTTAAATTTCATGCAAAGTTAAATACAATAATTGATTTGGAGCAGGAGGAGTCATACATACGCCTTTTTAATTGAATTTTCTATCTTAATCGCATTTTAAGTAGAAAGCAATATTCTCTTCCTCGTGAAATATGTAGTGGGCTCGTAAGTTGAAGGAAGGGTCATAAATCAATAATAACAAGAACCCGGAATCACATTTTATTCTTTCGTCATTTTTTATTTTTTTGTAGAATCAAGATGTAGTATTCCAATATGGTGAAGGGTGGTGATAGCTAGAGCCCAACGAAATACTAATTTCATTCCACACATTAAATTCATCTCATTAGTTTAAACTTATTTTTAATACTTATTCCAAAAAAATACAGTATTTTTTATCCATACACTCATATACAATATTTTGTAATTTTAAGATTTTGATAAAAGTTTTAGTTTGAATCATAATATAATAATAGCATCTAATAATAATTTGTTTTTATTCTACTAAATTTGGAGTAAATTTTAATTAATAAATATGATATCTTTTTAAAATAAAAGTTTTAGTTTTAAAAATAATTCACATTTATTAACATTTATGTAGATTTCTTCTCTTGAAAATAAATAAAAGTGAATAATGGTGAATAATTTTAAAGATTGTACTCCGTATAAATTTTTTTAAGTGTGATTTATATAAGCATCTTTTTAAAATAATAAAATAACTATGTATATTAAAAATGGTGAATTACATATTGACACAATACTTAGAAGATAGAAGATTTTATACAAAATCAATGGTCATTCAATATATTAACAATAAAAGTTATCTTAATTAATCAAAAATTAAAAGAAGAGGCACAAAAGTTTTATAGTTAAAATTAAAACTAAAGTATATGTGTTTTTATTCGAAAAACAATAAAAGGAAATAAATGATGAATAGTTTTAAACATTTTTATAACGTGTTTTTAACACAATAAAGTTATATACTCCGGGGTAACTTTTTTGAATAATAACAAAATAATATATCCGGGTTGTATTTAATTGACGGATGTAATTAGTGTTTTAGCGGGTGTGTATATAAATCCTCCATTCCTCTACTTCCGCATTAATGTTCTCAAATATCCCAAAAAAAGACTATTAGTTATTATTCATATATATGATAAACTAACTCTATTTTCTTTATGCATTTTTTATCGATCATTTGATAAAATTAGTTAATCTTGTCACTATTTGTTTTATATATTTTTTATGTAATTTTTTTAATATACAACTATCATTGTTTAATTTTATACCAATTTTTACTTATATTACTCTAAAAACAATTCCAGTCAAACATCATATATCGATAGATATTCTTATTTTTCGTCAAAGGAATATTATTCAGAGGGTCAAAGTTGAGTCAGTTCGTTTTCTTTTTTAATTATTAATTTTATTTATTTTTTTATAGTTTTATTTTACTAATTGAATAAATTTATTTTTAAATTGTATACCTACAATCCAAGCAATAAAATAAGCTAAAAATAATTTGATCAAACCTAACATATACGGAGTAAGAAAAAAAAGATGAGCCCCATCATATCCTCGAGAGCTTACTCAGAACCGGCTGGACGATCATTAGAAAAAGGTAAACTGAACTTTGATCATAGATTGGTAGCAAATAGTTGAACTTGCACCTGCTAGCTTGCTAATTACAGAGTTTTTATGTTTAGCATAATTAGCTCGCTTAGGACTGTTTCAGAAATCAATCTCAAATGCATTTAGTAACTGTGACAGGCGGGAGAGAGTCAATTTCTCAACAGTTGTTTTGCAAATTTGCAATGCTCTTTAGTCACGCAGCTGTCATTGCTCGTATAACATCCCTCGAGTATTCTTTGATTTCTTTCCCCTCCATAAAAACTATTCTCCGTATAATTATTTTCTATGAATTTTTAAATATAAAAAAAGTTATAATAACTTTTGTCTTTAAAAATACTTCATCTGTCCCTAAATAGATTACAATTTTTTTTTCTCCTCTCGATAACTTTTGTTTGTTTACGCGATTTCATTAAGTATTTGATAAAATAAAATATTCTTGTCACCTCTTGTTTTGTAGAACTTTTGACGTAGTTTTTTAATATGTAATTTTTATATCTTATTGATATACCAATTTGTAAATAAAATGATTTTAAAAAGTAAAAAATTTTACTCCGTAACCCGCAATTTGTAATCAAATTGGGGACGGAGGGAGTATCTATTTAAACTACCGAGAGAAATAAGAATTACCCTGTATATATTTATAGTTGACTTTCTACTTTTCCCTTGGATATCATGAATAAAAATAAGATGTGAATTAATGTGATGTGTAAATTTATTAATAAAAAAGTATGATGTGATAAATAAGATAAGAAAAGTATAGATCAAAGTGGTTTTTAATAGAAAGTGAAAATGTTTGAGTGAAAAAGAAAAAATGAAAGATAAAAAGTTTTGTAAACGGGAGTAAATAAAAAGTAGGTGTATTTTGATACTCCCTCGAGTCCCTCCATCATAAATTAACCATCTTATTTCCTTTTTGGGTTGTCCCAAATTAATTATCAACAACACAAATTAATCATCTTATTTTCTTTTTTGGGTTGTCCCGAAAACTCTAATAAAGTTTTTTTTCTCTTTTGCATCATTTTCAACAACACAACCTTATTTTTTTAAAACTGTGTGCAAACTTAAACTTTGAGTATTAATTTGAGACAAAGGGAGTATTATTTTTCTATATTACCTTTACTTTTTAGAGTAACAATGGGATATAAGTATTACTCCCTCCGTCCCTAAATAAACTTCCTTTTTTGACTTTTTGAGGATTTAAGGGAGAGATATTTTTGTGTTGACTTTCCAAAAATATCCTTGATGTGATGTGTAAAAGTAAGAGGTGATATGTAGATTATCAGTAAAAAGGGGCTTTTTAAGGGAAAAAAGAAATTTATTTATGGACAAAGAGAAAACGAAAGAGGAAGTTTATTTAAAGACGGAGGGAGTATGTAATAGGAAGAAGATACACACTTCTTATTGAAATTGTAAGACGATCAGAACCTTAGCCTTCATATCTTACTACCATACGATTCATATTTGCTGTTACAAAGTAGTAACATTATTTCTGTAACTTTTTTCAATCTCTTTTAGGAGTATTTACATTGTTTCTTTTTTTACAAATACTCCCTCCCTTCTTTTATAAACCCTTCCCATTTTGCCTCTGGATCAAAATAAGAAAAGTGTAATTTTGGTTAACTTTTCAATTTTGCTTCTGATGTGATGGGTAAAAGTAAGATGTGATAGTTTGGTTATTAGTGAAAAATTATGATGTGATACATAGGATATGAAAAAGTATGGGTAAAAGTCGTTTTTTAATTGGGAAAATGAAAGTGTTTTGAGAGATTAATAAAAGACAAAAGAGAAAGGGTTTTATGAATCTATATGTCATCACAAATTTGAACTATTGATTGAATTGTTAGATAATGTGGTATTTTTTTAGAGAAATTTATCTAAATAGCACTAAAACATAATGACTTTCTCTAAATAGCACTACATATGTTTTTCTTTCCAATGTAACACTTTTAGTCATTATGCATTAGTCATTATTCAAGCAAAATTTTGCCATCACTGGATATTATGGACATTATAAGTGCTATTTAGAGAATAAAATAGTTTAAGTGCTATTTAGGGAAATGACTTAAGTTTTAGTGCTATTTAGTGCAAACATTTCTTTTTTTTATTGGTCGGTATAATCCAAGAAGGAGAACTAAAACAAAGCATCCCATCCCCCACCATATGATGTCCTCTCTACTTCCTTTCTGAAATACAGCAAATTCGAGTTTGCACTGTCGGGTGGTTACAATATAATCAAATCCCCAAACCCAAACAAAGCCTTATTCATTTTAATCTCTCCTCCTCCTTCTTCTTCTTCTTCTTCCTTCTCCTCCCATTTTCATATATCACTCTTCTCATCATCAGCTCCTTCGTATAAAACTATCATTTAATCTGCTGTGTTTAATTTCCATTTTAGCTAGGGGAGTGGTTAATCATTCCAAGATCATCCATGGCGGCGGCGGCGGCGCCTTATTATCAGCATTACCGGTCTCCGTTCGGGGACACCACCCAAACCAAGGTCTTCGTCGGCGGTCTCGCTTGGGAGACTCCGGCCGACGTAATGCGCCGATACTTCGACCAGTTCGGTGACATTCTCGAGGCCGTCATCATCACCGACAAGAACACCGGCAAATCCAAGGGTTACGGCTTCGTATGTCTCTCCATTCCTCCTCCTCTCATTCATCCCATTATGCTCATGTCTCTAGCTTGGTGGAGTTTAACTTTTTCGAGTCAAATCAGATGAATTATTTTAAATTTTATTTAAATAAAAACCAATTATCTTAATTATTAGATTTATTTTATTGAGAAGTTATAAAATTGTACTTCCTCCTTCCTATATAAAGATGTTCCCATTTAACTTTTAGGAAATTTAAAAAGAGATATTTTTGTTTTCACTTTTCAAAAATACTTTTAATGTGATGTGGTAATAGTAGGATGTAATGTGTAGATTATTAATAAAAAGTCATGGTGTGATATGTAATTTAGTAAGGATAAAATTAATTTTTTAATAAAAATGAGAATGATCTTGTTAAAGAAGAAAAAAAGAAAGGGAAAGGACTTTTTGGGATGTAAGAAGTATTTCATTATACCAATATGTTATAAAAATTGAGAGTCATTAAAACTTAATTAATTATCAAGTTGAACAAACAAAATTCAAACTACACAAATACACTGGGATAAAGGTAGTATTTGAGATAATGGCCATGTCTTATTTCTATTTTGAGTGGTTTCAATTCTTCTGAAAATAAACGGAACTGATCACTCTGATGGCTTCGGTGACGGTAATAATGCAGGTAACGTTTCGTGAACCGGAGTCGGCTCGGAGGGCGTGCGAGAACCCGAACCCGGTCATCGACGGCCGCAAGGCCAATTGCAACATTGCGTCCCTCGGACGCCCTAGGCCTTCTCCGTCTCCTCCTCCTCGGGGTACAATTTTCATTTCATTTTACGATCTCTAAGGCAACAAACACTTTGATTATTAATAATATTTACATTATTGTGTGTGTTATATGGTGTATGTAATGGAATATATGCAATGTAGGAGGAAGAGGTCAAGGAGGGAGTGGATATGGTCAAGGAGGGGCAGCACATGGAGGTGGGGGTGGTTTACCATCCTCTTCTTCATACAGTGGAGTGGCAGCGCCATTACCTCCGCCGCCCCCACCACCACCACCACCTCTTATTTATCCACCCTACGGGTCAGTTTAAAGTGCATTTCCATTTTTTTTAAAAAAAAAAAACAAAATTATTTCCAGACATTATTGCATGAAAAAGAAAAGGAAAAAGGAAAAAAATGTAACACCGGCTACAAACTTTGACCATTAACTTTGAAAGTGATTTTAGAATGTTATTCTGCAAAAAATTCGTCCATTGAATTTTATTTAATTACTCACTATTACCGAAAATAAAATAAAAACGACAGACTATTAAAAATCTATATCGTTTTTTTATTTGGAAAGTAGCTTTAAAATTTATACTCTGGAAAATTAATAATCTTCAATAGTGTATTTAGAAGAAAAAAATTAAGACAAAGTTTGACACAATGTTTCATAAGACTCAACATTTGGGACCAAGGGAATATTAAGGTTTTGTTTAGAAACGATGTTAGGATTTGTACTTTGATAATTTTTTAATGATACTGATTATTAGTTTTATAAACGTTCAAGTTTTTTTTTTGAAATGATTTTTTTCGTTCATATACTCTGAATAAATTATAAGAAGTGTAAAAAGATTTAAGGTGAGGTAGGTAACTTTAATTTTGTGAGTAGTACTCGTACTAAAAAATTAGGGAGTAATAAAAATAACTTTGTTGTGTTATTTAATTTACTGCGCTGGTTGTTACGTTGATGGCGCTAGTTACAAAAACAAAAAAAAAATAAAAAATGGGCCACGTGAAAACACTGCCAGTGGTGATCTGTGAAGGAAAAAAACATGTTTATTAGTTGTCATGTTGGATCTTCTGATCATAACACTTTAATTTGGAAAAATGGAAAAGAAATTTAATTTGCCATTATTACATTTAAATGATACACTTTCTGTCTCTAAAAAAAATTTAATTTATTTTTTGTGCATTTCATAAAACTCTTGTACATCATCTAAAATATGTAAAATATTCTCAAAACAATTTCTACTCATAGTAAAGGAGAAATATGATGAGTCTAAGACATTATAAATATGTATAGTAATGTATTTTTGGATGTACAAAAAATGAAACAAGATTTTTTTGAGAGAATGGAGTATAATTGAATGCAGTGGGTACATATTGGATTGGCAGTCCGGTTAATTAATAATTTTCCATAATTTTAATGTTTATTGGTATGAGTTGTCATCAATAGGAAAGAACATGCCATTGTTTTTTTCTATTATTATTATTATTGCTCCAATAAGAGAGATATAGGAACTTAGTGTTTTCTTCAAGTTTATTATTAATAAAAATGTGTAAAAAACTTATTAACTTTTGTTGAATTAATAAAAAAGATGTGTAAAATGTGTAAAAAATATAGTTTGAGTCTATAAAAAGTACATAAAAGTGTTTTTTTTAATTTTGAAATGGAGTATTTATACCAATAACATTCATTTAATAACTTTTGTGTATACGGTATGCTTGAAGTTAATTTCCATTACTATCAAATGGTATTACAAATAAATTATTAAAAGAAATTGTCAAATGGAGTATGTGTAAATGTATATACTCCGTATATTTTTAAAAGTGAAATTTACACTGAATAGGACTAAAACATAAGTCATTTCCCAATGTAGGACTTAAACTTTTTTATTTTCTAAATAAGACTTAATAATGACTAGTGAGAAGAATAATGTCCAAGTGATGTTGGACATTTAGTTAAATAATGACTAATAGATAATGACCAATGGTCATACATTAGAAAATAAAAATATATGATCCTATATTGAGAAAGTCATTATGTTTTAGTATTATTTAGGTAAATTACTCGTCGTACAAAGTCGTTCTCTTTTTCTATTTAAAAATACTTTTACTCATACTAATTGTAATAATAGTTTACAATCACATTATTTTTTTTACTAATAATCAAAATATTTTTTTACTAAAAATATTTTTTTTGTTAATTTGTTTAAAAAAAAACTCATAACGTTTTACTTTTACCCATTACATCTAGGATGTTTTTGAAGATTTAACACAAAAATATTCTTCTCTTAAATTTCCTAAATGTCAAAATAAGAGTAACTCTATGAGACTGAGGGAGTACGTAATATAATTGGTGTTGTTAAATCCATCTTCGAATATGTTATATTCACACCTTTTTTATCTATATTTTCTAAATACACACTTATTAATGTAAATTTGATATTATTGTAGATTTAATAAATGAAGAATTTACTTAAATAATACTAAAACATAATGACTTTCCATAAAAAGTACCACATGTGTTTTTCTTCCCAATGTAGCTCTTCTAGTCATTATGCATTACTCATTATTCAAGCAAATATTCACCATCACTGGATATTATTAAATGCTATTTAAAAAAATAAAACAGTTTAAGTGTTATTTAGGAAAATGACTTAAGTTTTAGTGCTATTTAATCCAAATATTTCTTAATAAATTTATGTAAAAGAAGTGGATTTAACTATTTTTAGGATAGATTTCGCAACACTTTACTTATCTTGAGTATAATTTTAAGAATGTTCACTTCCTTTGGAAATTCAATTATGATACATCAAATTTTTATGCTCCGTAATTTTTTATTTACATTCAAATATACTAACTCCGTTCTAAAAAATACTTCTTCTTTTATTTTTTTTCATTTCCATCCAAACACATCCACTTTTTATTAAAAGACCACTTTTATCCTTACTTTTTCATACTATATCTATCGCATCATACTTTTTTTTCTAATTATCTATCGATCACATCTTACTTTTACTCATCACATCAAAGGCAAAATTGGAAGTCAACTACAATATAATACTTCCTTATTTTTAGACTGGGTCAAAATAAGAATTCTTTTTTAGAATGGAGGGAGTAAATATTAGTAGCTCAAATGTCACATTAGTTGGTGATGGTATAAAATGAAATGTATTTTTTAGACAAAAAGATTATCATGATGGAGAATAGATAGTTAATATTATCTCCGTCTTCAATATTTGTCCAATTTTAATTTTTTTAGTCAATCTTTTTCAATTTTTGACCTATAATCAAATAAAATAAGCTCTCTCCAACCCATAATTTTTTTTATTTTAACTTTTGGATGATTTAAAGGATGTATATATTGGTGTTTAACCTTCCACAAATACCCCTAGGATTTCTTTTTAAAAGTGATATTTGCATCAATGAATAGTAATGAATAATGGAATAAAGGAGAAATTAAAAATAAAAAGTGAGATTAGATGTGGGAAAGTAGGGCTATAGAGGGATATTCTAGTCCATTTTTCGACCCGCCATTTGTTTTTATGTCATTTTTATAGTCACAAATACATAAAATTAAATGTCACTTCTCTAACTTTATTTGAAAATTTCATAGGACTACTACTTCTATGTTATTAAAGCATGTAAATTATTCTCACTTAAACAGCACAAACTTGGTTCAGAGTCACGAATTTTGTTATGACGACAAATAGTTGAGAAGTATTTGTTACATTACACCACCTACCCAACTTTGAGATTAGAAGCTTATATATGATGGGTCATACGTATTTTGTTTGGTCTTAAATCTGTTGCCTGCCTTATTTTTTTTAGCTAGCCAAGTGAAAGTGATTTCACCAACACATATATGGTCCATTGTATTGTGTTCTCCAATAAAAATATTCATTCTTCCTCCTTTAATTTCCTGGTTTTTCATCTTCATTATCATAATCATAATGCATGGTTATTAAATGAGTTTTTTATCTACTCTCTCCATTTGCAAAAAAAAACTTCCTGCTTTGAATTAGAGCCAAAATAAAGAAGTGTTAAATTATAGTTGACTTCCAATTTTGCCCCTGATGTGATGTGTAAAAGTAAGATGTGATGGATTTATTATTTGAGAAAAAGTATGATGTGATAGGTATGGTATGAAAAAGTAAGGGTAAAAGTGATTTTTTAATAGAAAGGGGAAGTGTTTTGTTGGAAGTGAAAAAATGAAAGAGGAAGTGTTTTTGAGAACAGAGGGAGTGCATTTTTGTTATTGTAAGAATTTGGCCAAACACGATTCAAACCTTCTCAACACATTGAGATAGTGTAAGAGATGTTTTGAGATGAGAGAGCATCTATATAAGAAAAATGCTAGGGGTACACCTTTGGGAAAGGTGTACCCCATTTGTCCCCCACCCCCTCCATCACCACAAAAAAAAGCAAAAAAATAAAAAAATTAAATAAATAAAAATAAAATAAAATAAAATTGAATGGTGGAGAAAGGGGTGGGGGACAATGGGGTACACCATTCGGTGTACCCCTAGCATTCCTCATATCTATAATCTATCCCCATACGATAAAAGTTGTACTCCCTCCGTCCCAAAAAGTCTTTCCTGTTTCATTTTTTGCGCGTCCCATAAAACACTTCGATCCCGTCTTGAATGCCAAAAAAACTTTCAAAATAACTTCTACCCACAATAAAGAAGAAATGTTGTAAATTTTAGGCATTTTAGATGTGGGTAGATGTGTTTTATGGAATGCGCAAAAAATGAAACAAGAAAGACTTTTTGAGACGGAGGGAGTACGTTGCATTTAAATACTGTACTAAGGCATAATTTGCATGTGAATTTTCATCACACAACTTTCTTTTTTTTTTTTGGTTTAATTAATTTAAAAAGGAGTGACATTTAATTTACTTTTTTTGTTGCAGGTTTGCTGCCTACCCACCAGACTATGCTTACCACCAAGTAAGTACCATACTGTTCTCCCTCGATTTCCACATTTACTCTAACCAACATTTTTCGCAACACCCATATCATAGTTAGTACTCTTTCCGTACCTAAATATTTGCTACATTTATATTCCTAAGGTAAAATATAAAGTCTTTTCAATTCATTTTATTTACACATTGGTATAGAAATAAAAAATAAAATTTACATATCAAAAAACTACATGAAAATTTCTTCAAAATAAGAGGTGTCAAGAATATTTTATTTTATCAACTAACCAATGAAAATGTAGAAATAAACAAAAGTTACCGCGACTTGTGAAAAAGCAAATGATGTGAATATTTTGAGACGGAGGGAGTACCTAATTACACACACGCCCAAACGCTGTTTGGCAAACTAAAAGTCCCATAAAACATTTTTAATTTTGATTTTTTAAGGATGTAAAAGAAGTGTATTTTGATGTTTACCTTCCAAAAATGCCCTAGAACGTGATGGGTAGATTAATAGTCAAAAAATGTAATGTGATATGTAGGTTAAGAATTAGTAGGATAAAAGTAACTTTTCAATAGAAATGAGAAAGATTTTTTTAGACGGAAGAAAAAAAGGAGAAATGTTTTGTAGACCAGAGTATAATTTCGAGCTTGTTGTTCGTGCGTGTGTGAAAACAGAGAAAGTTTGGCCAGATTCAGAGAATTTACTCAAATAGCACTAAAACATAATGACTTTCACTCAATAGCATCATATGTGTTTTTTCCCATGTAGCACTTTAATTATTATCCATTAGTCATTATTTAAGTAAATGGTCACCATTACTGGATACTATTTTTCCTTTTAGACATTATTTTAGTGCTATTTAGTGCAAATATTTCTTTAGATTGTTCTCTTCTCTCTTTCTTTTTTAAATTCACCGCGGTTAATGTGGTTTAATTTGGTGTTTGTGAAAATTGTGCAGAGTTTTTACTGTCCACAATTCCAGCAAACCGCCGCAGCAGCGGCACAGTATTACCCCTACCACCACCACCATGTGTATGGAAGTTCATCACCATCACCATCTCCGTCGTCATCATCGTCAGGCATGATGGGATCTCCGCTATACGGTGGTGGGTATGGGTATTCAAGAGGAGCCATTTCTCCTACAACGCAACGTTTCAATGGAGGGCCGCCGCCGCCGCCCCCGTCGTCCTACATTTACTACCCAACAACCGCTCCCGCCCCTCACATGGATGCCGCCGCGTCCCCCTTCTCCGCCGCCGCTCCCCCCTTCCTCCAACCTGTCCCAAGGCGTTCCTTTTCTTCACCCTCAGGTAATTACAATTCTTTTTACTACTCCCTATTATGATTATTACCTCTTCCTTTCCCAGTAAAAACAAAAACAAGCTAGGGTAAATAAGAGCATTTTGGATGAATTTAATCTTTTTTGCAAAGGTAATATGGGTTGGGCTCGATTGAGATAAGAGTAGTTTCATTTGGATGGCCTAGGGGTAGGGTGGGGCCGAGTGGGGGCTGGGGGTCGTTAGGGTTAAGTGGGTTAACCATGTGACGCGAGCTGGCCAAATTGATGCTATGACCCCATGAGCACGTGACCGGTCAAATGCATGTGAAGAAACAGAGAGAGAGAAAGGGCATGGCATGGCATGCTGCAAACATAATACTCCGTACTTCGTACTCCGTAAGTTGTTGTCGTTATGGAAAGCAGAGAGACGACACGTGTCGGGCGTTCGTGCCTTCGCTTAGTTCGAAGGTACAAATAAAAAAGGGGATACTTTGACCCCGGGGTTCACTTACCGTTAATCCATTAACCCAGCTGCTAGTCCATCTATTATACTTGTACAGTAGATTTTGTACAGTAAAGTGTGACAATCTTTTTTGTGCGGAGGGAGTGTATATTCAATCACCAAAAAATAAGGATAGGTTGGCAAGAATTTCTAGGTTTGACATTATTTGAAATATCTTCTAGATATTCTCATTATTCTAGTATGAACTCACATTCTTTGAAATATTCTTCAAGATTCTTAAAATTTGTGACATGGTATTCTGATGATACATTCCATCCATTTAGACGTTAGGATTAAGAGTTCCAATACTTTGACAATTTGAAGAATTTTACTAAAATCTAATAAAATAATAATTATTAATGCAAAATTTAGTATTTCTCAGAGTAACAGAACTTTCAATCATAATGAACAAATTGACGGAATGTACTCTTGAGATACTTTACCCTAAGTTTTAAGGACCCTCGAAGTTTATTTAAGATAAAATGAGACTTAGGAGTTTTTAACAGACAATTGAAAGTACCTAAAATACATTTTAAATAATGTGTGTCCTGAGAGTTTTTTTTAGAAAATCAGGAGTATTTCAGGGCCCAAGGTAAATTCTATTCAGTCACTGATTATTAATATAAAAGGTAATTTACCTAAATAGGACTAAAACATAATGACTTTCTCAACATAGGACCAAATATTTTTATTTCCCAATGTAGGACCATTGGTCATAATCTATTAGTCATTATTCAACTATGTCCAGCATCACTTGGGCATTATTCTTCTCACTAGTCATTATTAAGTCCTATTCAGGGAATAAAATAGTTGAAATCCTAAATTGGGAAATGACTTATGTTTTAATCATATTCTGTGTAAATCTCACTTTTTTCTTTCATTAATGTTTGATTTGTTTAATTATTGTAATTAATTGGTTACACTATACTATATATGTGGATGCAGAGACGACACAGACTCCGCAGCAAGCAGAAACAAGGACGACGGAGGTTGGGGGTGTCATTACCACCTCATCGGAGAGCCCAAACACATAATTACATTACATTAATCATCCAACAAATCTACTGTACAATCATTAACGTACAAAATTTAAGCCATCAAAAAATATCTTTTTTTATTAAATTTATTTTTCATAAGGGGTCAGCCACATAGGCTCTCAATGCTATTCTTCATCATCTGGATCGGATCTTACCAGGAACCAAATGCATGCCCAATTCTTTTTCTTCTTCTTTTTTACTCCGTAATATTTTGGGTTTTTAGCTCTTAAAATTACCGCTCTGCCCTCCTTTAATTTTTTAGAAGAAAATTCTTGGGTCATTTATTTTTTTTCAACCTTAATTTAATCACTACTAAACTTCTTTTAATAATGTCGCATGGTGGGCTATTAGACCATGCGCTATGGTGTGTTTGACCAAAAAGTGATGAGGTGGAATGTGAACTATTTTAACAATTTGAAGTGAATATGTATTAAATTTTTATTGGTTGAAAAAAAAAGAAGAAAAAAGAATCACCACGACAACACTATTGCCATCATCCTGCAAGGGGCCACGCCTCTTCAGGGCAGCGCATGGTGGAGCAGTTTGACAGTGGGCGTCAAGCCTTGGGGGCATGGCTCATAACGAAGGGCCTTACAGGGATATATGCATTGTAATGTTTCTATAATAAAGAAATTAAACTAGCTAAGTAGTAGCTATATATGATAACTTTTTCTAATTAGCTTTCATTTCCCTGTGATACATATGGTTATATATTCAATTGTTTCAAGTTTTTGACCAACCTTATTCACATGAATTTGATGAAAATTTTTTATCTATTCACGAGTCTAATTTCTTGGTTGAGCTTTACTTTCTAATTGGCCAATGAGAAGGCAAATAAATGAGGCATATTAAAACACAAATTGAAGGATAAGTTCTCTCAACCGGGGGCCAATTTTTCTTGAACCCATGTTAGTTCTTCAAAGAAGATTTCAAGATCCAACATCTCTTCAATCTCCTTGGAGGTCACCATATATCTATGAAACCCCGAGGATACCCTTTCCAAAATACTTTTTTGAAAGGGCCAAGTCGGATCTCTGTCTTAGGATTCAGAGTAATAACTAAACATGTTTTTTCCTAATTCTAAATCATGTCTAAATGAGTATCTTCATTTCTATTACGAGTAAATTTTTAAAATTTGTCAATTTAAGTTGTACGAAGTATATACTGGGTAGTAATTTTTTTTAGGGCAAGTATATAGTAATTAGTTAAACTTGAAATTTGGGTTAAGTATTTTGTTTGTTGTTTGTTGTTTGGTGAAATGTTTTTCAAACTTTTGATACAAATTGATACAACCATTTTAATTACTTGAATTGAGCTACCCAATGTCTCAAAAATTGAAGTTATATATGGTCATTTGGTCACACATAATTTAAATTAGTATCCTAGCATAGCCAACATGTAATTCCCTAGTTTCCGCTCAAAATTATTTGCTTATATTTCTTTTTTCATTTGTCTCAAAATATTTATTTATCTTTTCTTTTCCCTTTTATTGGAAAACGTGTAATTCTAAAATATATTTCTCTTCCAAACAAATTCTAACCACTAACAATAGTTTTTTTTTTACATTTTTTCAACATTTTATTAAACACCAACTCTTTTCCTTAATCATCATAATACAAAATAGGTAAATTTTTCTAAAATAGGAAGTATTTTGAACACTTCATCCTTTCCTAAAAGCTTGTTACAGTTTGACTTTTTTTTATCAAACTATAGCACTCTTTGACTGTAAATTATGGAAAAAGGATATTTAGTTATAATTTAAATTTAATGAATTTAAGTTTATTTTAAAATATAGTTGTAAAATATCACAATTCTACAATATTTAATTATTCAAAACTATATTTAATTTATAATTAAAAGATACCATCATTTGACAAAAGAAGTCAAACATGCATATCATGAGTATACATCGGCCTACAAATATTTGTTATAATCATGGGTCTGGTTAATGAGATTTATTCAGTAATTGGGCTAGGCCAGACTTGGATATCCGATATTGGAGTACGTATTGGACTTAGCGGGAAGTATCTATTAGTAAAGGATGCCTATTAGCCTAGTTATTATGACCCAATGCTTAAAGACATTTTTGCATTCTAATACTATTTTTTATTTATTCAATCCTTTAAAATAGGATGTCAAACCCACAATAGAAAGAAAGACTTCGGAATTGTAAATGAATAAAACATTTAAAAAGAATATAAAAAAAACGGCTAAGAGGATTTAACGGTCACTTTGGAGGCAAAAAAGAATTTTATGTGTGTATTTTGTATTAGTCTCCTCATTTATATCACTGAGCTGGTTCATCATTTGTATCTCCCGTATTCAACCACAAGCTCAAGTTTGTGGTTGTGGCCCAGGAACAGTTATTTATATTCTAACACACCCCCTCACGTGCAGGCGTAGTCTTTTTCGAGCCTTGCACGTGAAACCTTAATTTTTTTAAACTGGGTGGCGCTGTGTTTCGAACCTGTTACCTCTTAGTCAACGAAGCTCTGATACCATGTCAAGGAACAGTTATTTATATTCTAACAGCACCCGCGATTCTAAAATTTTTATTATGTGACATTTGAACATTCTCATATTTTTTATGAACTGCCATAAATTTTTTTTTGTTTTACAAAAAGCTCAATTCTTTCATTTAATTTACATATACTAAGATCGGTAAAACGAGTGTGACCCCAAGGATCATGTAACACTTTATCTCAACCGTAATTTCGGGATCCATCACTCTTTATCCGACTCTCTTTCATCACTCCTCTCTTTCCATGTACTCTTTATTGCTCCCTCCATTTCAGAGAATTTGGTTGATATATAGTATATACTCCTTCGGGTTTTAAAAATATATTTTTTTACTTTTAATGAAAATAAGAAGTAAATATTTTACTTTTGACTTGATTAAAATATAAAGAATGAAAAGGGAGAAGGTTCACTTCTACTCATTCAACTCGTCAATTCAAATCCAATGCCCATACTTCACATTTGTAGTCTCAGGTGGGAGTACACATGAAACATTAGAAATCACAATTGTAAGAGCATCTCCAATCGTCCTACTTTGGCTTGCTAAAAGCCATAATATAGCAAGTCAACCCATTTTTCTCTTCTCCAATGGGTGTGTTAAATTTTAGCAAGCTTGCCAAAAAATGACTTTGGCTTGCTAAATATAACAAGCTCTCCAAATTCTAGGAAGCCAAGAGTTGTAGAATGGATTAGCAAGCCATGGTTGGAGAATAGAACAAAATATCACTTGTTATATTACTACTCACTTGTTAAAATATAANGGCTTGCTAAAAGCCATAATATAGCAAGTCAACCCATTTTTCTCTTCTCCAATGGGTGTGTTAAATTTTAGCAAGCTTGCCAAAAAATGACTTTGGCTTGCTAAATATAACAAGCTCTCCAAATTCTAGGAAGCCAAGAGTTGTAGAATGGATTAGCAAGCCATGGTTGGAGAATAGAACAAAATATCACTTGTTATATTACTACTCACTTGTTAAAATATAAAAATAGCAAATCAATATAATAAACAAGGTTGGAGATGCTCTAATCACATTGAAATCACAAACATTTTTGACCCACCAAGCATTAGAAACAATAAATAATATTATATAGTTGGTGAAAGGGGAATTGATATGTTCAAAAGAATAACAAGTCTAATATCCGCAAAAGAGTAGTTAGCTTAGTTTATCCAAAAATTATGACTTTTGGATTCAAAATCGAATTACTGTTGAAGCTAAGCTATTTCTTCACTTTTTAATTAAGATATAGAAAAATTTGAAAATGCATATATTTAGTTATTAAGTTCTAATTACAATTCGATCAAATTTTTGAATAAATCACTTGCCCTACAACACATATGCAGGAATATTTTTTTGATCATACATATGTATGAATATAGCCTAGTGGAATAAATATAGAAAGACTCATATTACCAAGAACGTTTGTTGAAATTTAATTCTATTTAAAAAAGGGCTAAGAACAGACATATTCAAAAGTTTTTTTTGAGTTTATTTAAAAGTTTTTGTTAAATAAAGTCTATCCCACGTCGAAAGTTGAATAAAAAATAATCGATATATAAGCTCTTGAATTGAGCTTAGTAGCCGATTGGAATCAATCTTTTAATGTGGTTCGACCCAAATGTCTTCTGACCCAATCCAGTTATCTCTACCTCATCTTAAATTCTACTCCCTCCGTCCCATGAAACATGGGATGTTTTTTTTCTTTTTAAATAGATTTAAGGGAGTGTATTTTGGTATTAAATTTACAAAAATGTCCTTTGATGTGATGGGTAAAAGTAGGATTTGATGGGTAGATTATTAGTAAAAAGGTATCATGTGATAGGTAGGGTATGAAAAAGTAAGGGGTAAAAGTGACATTTTAATAGAAATGAGAAATGTTTTTTGGGACGGATGAAAATAGAAAGGAGAAAGGTTTTATGGGACGGATGGAGTATTATGAAAGTCTATACCAATAGCTCGTGGTCCTTTAGGTGTTGACGCTAAAAAAACGAGGAAAAGTGTTGGGATCTATCCCACAACGGAAGTTGAATAGAAAAGTCATTGATATATAAGCTTTTGAGTTGAACTAAATAATAGGTAGGATTTCATCTTTTAATGTGGCTTATGTCAAGTGTCATACAGTCCAATCCAGTTATTATTACCTGATTCTAAATTCTCTCTCTTTTTTATTGAAAAAAAGCAAGTATTTAAAAATGTGGTTTCTTGTTTCTGCCGAGTACCTTTTTCATTATTCGAGTAATAATGATATTTTTATAAAATCGGTAATCTGTAATCAAAGCATCAGAGTGGCGCAGCGGAAGCATGGTGGGCCCATAACCCACAGGTCCCTAGATCGAAACTAGGCTCTGATAGTTTATTTTTGTTCTTGTAAACACCATTGCCCATAAACCGCCGGTAATATATATATAATACGGAGTATTACTTTCATTACATGATTATTTTTTTTACTTTTCTATTTTCTTAAACCAAAATTTTCTTTTATTTTGGAAATAAATTCTTTTAATGTTTTTACTTCGTTCTATTCTTATTTTATAGACTTTAATTAATATATTAAATAATTATATGTATTGGGTGTGGTAAAAAATAGATATAACAATAAGTTCATGGATCCACATTACACACGTAGATATTAGGATCACAATTACATAATTCTGTACATTGTGGTCTATTTTGAATCCTCCTCCTTTTTCTAAAAGATTAGTACGGTTTGATTTTTTTAACAAATTGCGGTACTCTTTGACCGCAAATTATGGAAAAAGGATATTTAGTAATAATGTAAATTTAGTAAAATTGAATTCATTTTAAAATATAATTTTAAAATATAAAAATTCTATTTTTTAAAACCATCTCGTATCGTTTTAAAAATGTATTAGTTCGAGATACTATTATTTAGAATCATTTGAAAACTTATTTTTTAAATTTGATACAAATACGATTTTTGGTTTACTCTCTCCGTCTTTGAGTATTTATCCATTGTTAACTTTTTTGGTCAAAATCAATAAACTTTCACCTCAATTTAAAAAAAATAATATTAGATAGTGATACAAAAATAGTTATATTAGATTTATCATATAAAATATTTTTAAAATATTATTTATCTAATAAATATACAATTGAAAAAAAATACTTAATTGAAAAAATAAAAACTAGACAAATATAGCACCCAAACATTTTTGTTTGATAAGAGTAAAATCAAAGATGTGGACTAGGGGTGGGCAAAAAAACCAAACTAGCATGGTACCATACCGGACCGTAATGGTACCGAACCGTTTATAGTATTTTTAAACGGGATTGATTTTTTTCATCACGAACCGAAACCGAACCGATACCAAATGGGACGGGACCGTGATACATATATTTAAAACTGATTATCACGGACCGTACCATTTAACGCTATATACAGAGTACGTATCTCAAATAATTATAGAGTATTTGTCTATTTTATCTTATCATATATAGAATACTTCGTATATTATTATTCATTTTTAAACTCTCTCATTATTATTGTTCTCATTATATTTATCATTACTATTAGCATTATTTTTTATGGTTATTAGTATTACGATATTATATGAATTGAGAAAAAAATTATTTTTTAACTTTGGACTCGTTATTTGTTATTCTTTATGTCTATGATCCGTTTAAATTTGAAATCAATACTTTTATCTAACAAACTTGTGTTTTTTTATACAAATTTATACATTAAATTCAATATTCTTTGAGTAATGTACATTCATTTTTTGGCACGGTTTGAGCATGAGTATGGTATTGTACCGTTTCGTTTCAAAATGGAATGGTACCGAATGGTTTTGGAGTTCATCCCGTACCGATACCGGATTCCGTGATAGGTTCCAGTAGTATCACGAACCATCACGAACTGCGCCACCCTGAACCCGTTAGAAGAGCTGGCCACCCGAAAGACCAACGCGTTTAATGAATACTAATAATAATCAGGTGAACGTCCATCATAGCATAACGGCTCCATCCTTTCCTTTTCCCTGTCGAAACTCCCAGGAGGATCAAGTCAATACACAATGCAACTGATTCACTAATTAATTGCGGAGTCTTCCTAATTACCAATTCAACATTAATTGTTTGTCGTTTCACGCCGGGAACAATTTTTTATTTTGAGGCTATGTGTTAAGTGTTATTGTGCGTGAACCCCCTCACGTCTCCTTCAACCAATCAAAATAATTGATGGAGTATATTTTTACCACATCACTTTTTTTTGTCATGTGTCTTAGTTGAGCCCTACAACAGGCATATTTCTATTACTCCACATGATATCTCTTTACACACCGTCAAGCCCACCATAACACATGGTCTGATTGTTAGCGCTTTTAAATAAAATGCTACTCCGAACTAAGTTTATAGGTTGTTGAGTTGAATCAGATTATCGATTAGATTTAATTTTTTACGGAGTAATATAATTCAAGTCAAGCCTTTTGTAGCACAATTTAATACGGAGTAACAACTGTGCATCTTAAATTCTATTACTCCGCATTACATTGAAAAACGTTGTGACTCCCCTCGTTTGCAAAGTGCTCAGCTCGGTCAGTAAGTTCATTCATAATAACTCGCAAGTCTTTAGGTAGTTATCTGTATGGAATTTTTACCCAACAACCCATGACTAATTATTTAACATGATTGTTCTCGAAATCTATATTGAACGGCTCTTGGTTTTTAGGTGTTGTCGCCACATGCTCGAATATTTGTTATTAACATGATTGTTCTCAAAATCTATATCGAACGACTTGTGAATCTTTATTAGGTGTTGCCGCTACATGTTCAAATATTCACTTAAGGCGACGAGAGGGGAGTCAAATGCAAGTCCTCAACCAATTAGACTTAAAATGACTTGGTCGTCAATTTGAATGCATGAGACATCTCATTTCCTAACAGTCAAATCTCACTTGAGACTGCGGTGGACATGCTCTTAATTTACATTGTGGTTAATATTCTCCAGTGTTGATTGAATTATATCAATTTTAAAAGCTTAAAATTACAAGTTACCCCTTGTTAATACTTTTTTTGACTAAAAAGTTAGTTTTTTTTACTTTTATCGATTTTACAATCAATTAAGATGAGGTAAATGATATTCTAAACTTAAATGATCAATAGATAATGACACGTGTCCCTAATTGCAAAAAAAGTTTTACGGAGTATATGAAACACAAAACATTTCAAGTTGATCTCACGGAATGTGTTTTTACACACCCTATGGACCACTTAAGTTAAGTCAAAGATAATACACAATATTTTTAAGTGAGATTTGTTCCAAATAGCACCAAAATTTAACAAGTTTCTCTAAATGGCACCGAACAATTTTTTTTCTCAAAACTAACATTAAATTAATTAAGTAATTACTTTTTATTATATATTTACTAAAACACCCTTGCATCTTAATTTTTTTGTATTTCGTATAAAATATAGACTATTTTTTCGCCTTTGATTCATCTGCTTAAATTTTTCTTTTGACGAGACATTGTACAATTTATGGCTATTGTTTACTGATGATCGAGAATATGGTAAAAAATATGAATATTGTTTACTGATAAGGGACATTGATGGCTATTGTAGTGGATATTTAATTATAATTATGACAATGTCTTTTTTTGACCGAGAATGTCTTGGACTCTTGGCAATGGACACGTAGACAATAACAACTATATTGAACCTTATTAGAGTGAAAACATGGAAGTCATTAAATAATGTATAATGAACATTAACAGAGTGGCGGTGGGACACAGATGCCAGCAATTTGCCTTTGGCAGCCGGCGAAAAACGATAGGACGTGATGGGATAACAAATAGAAAATCATATAAATGACATTTTAATATATTAGACTTAATAATTAATTATTAGTTAATCAGATTCTAGTCATGAAAATTAAAACTTATAATATTATATTGAGAGATCGAGTATATTTTAGTGCGAGTGTTATTTAAGTAATTTTCTGTGTTTTTTTAATGGAAACTAAATGCTCTGATATTTTATAAACGCGCCTATCCTATCTTCCCGTTAAAATACACAGTGCCAGTTTTGTCCTCTTCCCCATCAANCCCCCCCCCCCCCCCCCCCAGCTGTAGTCCATATGCTTAGCAGCTTCTTCCCTCCCATTTCCCCATTTCATCAATGCCGCGTCTCCCTTCCAATTCTCCTCTCCTCTCATCTTTTTAATTTTTACTCTATTCTTCCATCACTATATAATACGCATTCCTTCCTCCCCATTTTTCATCACTCCCAAATCCCAACTAAGTCCACCTCGATCGAATTAACCCCAAATGGCTTCCTTCACCGCTCTCCTCTTCCATCTCGCCGTTACCCTTCTCCTGGTGGCTCACCCCTCCGCCGCCGCAAGGCAGCTCCCCCAGTCTTCCACTCCGGACTCGTCTTTTCCCTTTCAGTACCACGACGGCCCCCTGCTCACCGGCAAAGTCTCCGTCAATCTCATCTGGTACGGCAGGTTCACTCCTTCCCAACGCGCCGTCGTCACGGACTTCGTCTCCTCCCTGTCCAAGTCTCCCGCCGCCCAACCCACCGTCGCCACGTGGTGGAAGGCCACCGAGAAGTACTACGACGCTGCGCTCAAGTCGTCGTCCAGGAAGGCCTCCCCGCCGCTGGTCCTCTCCGCCGGCGCCCAGATCCTCCACGAGGATTATTCGCTGGGCAAGTCCCTGCAGGACCGCCACCTTCACGAGCTCGCCGCCCGCGGCGGTCAGAGAGACGCCGTCAACGTCGTTCTAACGGCGTCGGATGTGTTCGTGGCCGGTTTCTGCACCAGCAGGTGCGGGACCCACGGGTCTCTATTGAGTTCCAAAATTGCCCCCGTCAAGGGGAAGAGTTACAAGTTTGCCTACATCTGGGTGGGCAACTCCGAGAGCACGTGCCCCGGGAAGTGCGCGTGGCCTTTCCACCAGCCGATATATGGGCCGCAGGCCCAACCATTGGTGGCGCCCAATAACGACGTGGGCCTGGACGGGATCATCATCAATTTGGCCAGCCTGCTTGCTGGGACCGTTACGAACCCGTTCAACAACGGGTACTACCAAGGGCCGGCGGAGGCCCCGCTGGAGGCTGCCACGGCTTGCACCGGAGTTTACGGAAGTGGGGCCTACCCAGGCTACGCCGGAAATCTGTTGGTGGACGCCGCCACCGGCGCCAGCTACAATGCGGTGGGTGTGAACGGAAGGAAGTATTTGCTGCCGGCGCTGTTCGATCCTTCGACGTCGTCGTGTTCTACGCTGGTCTGAGCTTCGGTTTTGTCTCGCCGGAATTTATCTGTCACCTCTTACATATTCTTTGATTCATTCGTTCTTTCTTTTTCGCGACTCATTCATTAACTATTAGTGTAATGATAATTACAGTAATATAAAGCCATGTTTGGCACTTGGCAGATCCGCCAAGAATTGGCTGTTTGACTATCATTAATGACTTGGACCTGCCAAAGAACAAAAAAAATTGTTTGGTGGATGGCTTTTGAAATTGGCTTCTTAATCTAAACAGCTAAAAATGAAAATGCGAGACCACCCAGCATTTCAGTTTGGCATTTGCGGATCATTCCTTTTTTGCCCTCGGCGACACTCTGGTCTTCTACATGCACCCTTGTGGATTTTTTTATTTCTTTTTAAATTATGGGTTCATCTACTTTTATTGATCTCAATTCTTTAAAATTTAAATTGTTTTTCTTTTCTTTTTTTCTTTTCCTCTCATGAGTGTATTTTAAATCTATTCATTCTACCTATCAAAAACTCATTCAACCAAGAGTTTAAGGTCACGATTGGGACCTAGAAATGTTTGACACTTCAAATTGTGATTCTTATCTTTGAGTAATTTATTATTTAATTTTTTGATTTAAAGTTGGTGTAGAGTATCCTTATATATTTATGATACGACATTAAAAGATCTATAAACTAAAAGGTAGCATGTTTGTTATTTGTATAATGACAAAAGAATAAATATACAAAAAAAATCTACTCATAAAATGTAACGGTGAATTCTCATTTCCTAATCTGTTAAACAAAAATACAAAGTAGTCATTTTTTGGTAGAAAAATAGATATATGTAGAGTATTCGCTTGTATAATGTGTGTGATTAGTCAAAATAAAAAATCATACTCCCTTTGTCCTAATTTAAATGTTTCAGTTTACGGTGTTGTGCTGGATTTTTTTCAAATCATTTTATATGAAAAATTACGTAGAATTAAAAAATAAAAATAACATATTTAAAAACTACATCAAAAAATCCATAAAACTAGTGGTGACATGACTATATTATTTTATCAAATTACTGACGAAAATAGTGAAAGAAAATGTATGAAGTTTGACGATGTGCATATTAAATAGATAATTTGATTTGAGACGGAGGGAGTGCTAATTAAAATTAAACATAAATTAACAAAAATGAAGGGATGTCCTTTTATGTAATTTCACCCACAAATAGCTAATTATAAACAGCTAAATTTGCCAAACGTTTTTTTCTAAACAGCTAACACAAACAACCGTTCAAACAGCTAACCCAATCAGCCATTCAAACCAGCCAACAGAAACAGCCAACCGCCAACAGCCAACTGCCAGGTTCCAAACAAGGCCAAAGCCATTCCCTTATTTACTTTGCCCGGAATCTAATTTATTCATCTGATTTCGGTTCCCAATTTACTTGGACATTAAAAAATACAAAGAAATCAACTGATGTGTCACTAAACTAAAATACAATTTCGGTTTCTGAAATTTACAATTCTCTCGCTAAAATACCGCTGTAAAAAGTTAACCCAATATAGCATTAAACTAAAGGAGAAAAATATTCTTAGGCCCCGTTTGGTACACGTAATTCAAACTATGGAATTGGAATTGAGGACTTCAATTTCAATTCTAATGCTTGGTATCACAAAAATTATTTTGATTTGGAATTGGTAGTGCAAAAACTGAATTGAAATTGATTATTTCAATTCTATGGAATTGAATCCTATGGAATTCTAATTCCATCAAATTCTGTATACCAAACGGACCCTTAGAGTTTTGTAAGAACAATTTCTCCCCATACAAAAAAAAGTTTGAAATTGTATAAATGTGTGTAAATACTTCGAATTGGACCTGTTATTAAGATTGGAGTAATCAATTCTGGGTTATGCCAGATTTTAACTTGTTTGGGTTGAGGTCCATAACTTTAAATTTTTGGTCTAGAGCTGAAATAAAATCGGGTCAGATCGTCCGTAAAACCGAATTCTTACATATCGTTAGCTATCTCAAGCCCAATAGCATAAATGGATACGAGTAGTACTTCTTAGCCCAAGGTAGGAGGAGTATGTCTTATTATATTCTTTAGATATGATGATTTACACAAAAACGGCCCGACGGGCTCGACCCGATTACAATTTGGGTGTATCTCTCCCAAATTATCTTATCTTTCTCTTTGTGTCTCTCTAGCGTAGCGTCCCTTTCTTCTTCTCGTCCTCCCCTATTTATAGGAGATTTTTAGCGGGAAACGTTTTGGCAGGAACTTGGCATGAGTTTGGAGTGGAAGTTTACTATTTGGTACGTATGTCAGACGTCGCATCCGCATTAAATATTGTGTACAGACGTCACGATGGGTGGTTGGGGTGAGGTGACGGACTTGTTCTCGAACAAATCTTGTTCGATGTCTGGCTGATCGTTGAGATGATTATTTATTCTCCCAAGTTTGCCCGACCATCACTCGAAACATCGGTGCGTCCCGTCCTCGATTGCCCGTCGGGCTGGTATCGGTCAGGGGTCCCTACGCCGAAGGGCCCATGAACTGCCGGGGGTGGCCTAGTTACATTGGGCCTTTATCCCAACAAGTATAAACAAATTAGCAAAATTGAATTGAACCCATGCCGTCATAGGACATATTTATACACATTAAAAATATAAAATGCATTGCAGAATTAAAATAAATATTGCTAGTGCAGGTTTTTTCTTAGATTTTTACCGGATTTGAGCTGAGGTGGTTGTTAGGTGACATTTAAAAATGTGGAAAAGTTAAGCACTAAGAAACGATTTTTATAGGAAAAGAAAAAAAGAGGCTAAGCAATGGTGCTTGTTTTAACTTTTTTGGTTAAACAGTGATATTTTTTACTAAAAATTACATATAATCTAAATTAATAAATGTTATAAAAATTGATTTTTTAAAACTATATCTTAAGATTAACCCAATTGTATTGAATTTATATTATTATGCAATATACTTTTTTGTTTGACCAAAAAAAGTCAAAAAATGAAGAGGTTTTAGAGGCGGAGGGAGTATAAGATAAACATATATTTTCCCAAATTTAGCCTATAAGATAAGCATGTGTACATACTTTATAAAAAAAGGAAAAGAATTGTATTTTGAGTTTTCGATCCTCCCTTTTGTGTGATTTTGGTTTTTTCAAAATATTCAATGTCCATCTCTCCCAAATGTGTGTAGTTACTGAAGTATTACGAAGATGGCAAATCTTATGTTACACATTGACCTAATGACCAAAAGAAGTATTTTTTAAATAAAAAAAATAAAAAAAAAAGTGATGTTTTTTATATGCACATGTACCAAAGAAGCACTCCACGAAGATAACATGCGGACTACGAAGTGCTCCTTAGAGCAACTCCAACGAGAGCTGCTATAATTCATTTGTTATAAACACTATTAGATGTTTAAATAGTTCTTTAGCTTTTCACTTTTTCTAAGCAACTCCAACCATGTAGTCTAAATTTTAAACTTTTATTATATTTAATATTTACAGTATATCTTTACTTTATACTGTAAAGAGTCAAATCTCCTCCACTTGTTTCTTTTTCTTTTGTTCTCTCTCCTCTGTCAACTTAATATTTTATTATTTTTTAGATTTAGCTCATGAATAGTTATCTGCTAAATAAAGCTGGTGGGACTTCCATTTTAACTCACCATCTGTTTTATAAAAGGACCGTTGGAGATGTTATTAATGAATAGTGTCAGTTAAATCTTCTATAATAAAGCTTATAGAAGAGGCGTTGGAGTTGCTCTCAGAGGCTTTTAAGGGAAAACTATCTAAAATAAGTTTATCTTTTCGCGTTCTTTCAAAAATAATTTCATTTTCATTATCATGGATATTAATTTCACCTTTCTTCATGCGTGCAGCGACTATGCGCGTTTTCGACGCTGTTAGATGCTAACATTTACTTATCCGAATACTAATAAAATACTTGTTTTTGTCAATAAAAAAATGTGAGATTATTTTAGGTAAATTCAAAATTTTTATTTTTTAAATTTCTAACTTTGAATTTAAATGTGTTTTTAAAAATGTTTTTTAAATAATGCCAAATTTAAGTGTTATTTAGAGAGAAACTTTTTTCAATAATCGATAAATTGGTAATAGTTGTTTTTTCCAAAAGTTTTGGAATTGCACAATAAATTATTTTACATAATGGAACTAATTTATTTACTTCTTTACTCCCTACATATTTTTGTAAGTTGCAACTATTATCTTGAACATCACTTCAAATTATTTTTTTGATACTTTACTATTATAATTTTTTAAAAAAACAGCATTACAAAACTTGTGTATATTTTTCAATATTCTTGTTTAATTTTTTTTTTTTGCAAAACAACATTACAAGAGTTGTAAAAATAACACAATAATTTATTCTCTAAAATTAAACTTTTATTTTATAACTCACTACATTTTTTGTTATATTGTAATTTTTTTAGTGAACAATACTTCAAAATTTTAATCAATAATCTACTATTATCTGTATTATTTTCTTAACATGGCACTACAAAACTTATAATTTTTTCAATAATTCAATATAAATTGTTCCCAAAACAACAATTCAAAAGTTGTGAAAGTGGCACAATATTTTTTCTCCAAAACGGCACTAATTATTTTTGGAGCTCACTCCACTTTTTTTGTACTGCAATTTCTTACTTATGCGATACTCTGTATTACTTTTTGATAATTCAATATTATATTTCCCCGAGAACAGGATACAAAAATAACAAAATTTTAAAATCGTTATATTTAAAACAAAATTGAGACATTTCTTTAACAAGAGTGTAATATTATATTTTTAAAAACATATATTTAAAAAAGAAAAAAACTAAATATGTCTAAAATATTCACACCTTTCATTGATTTGCAAAAACGTGACGATTTTGAAGATTTTGTTAAGTGCTGTTAGTTTCGACGACCCAAAATACGATACATGTAAAAAGATGAAATTATTTTTGGTGACAGTGAAAAGTGAGATTTTTGAAAAAGCGTAAAAAAGGTAGGATTATTTTTTTAAAAATCCTATTTTTAATGCAAGATTTTTAAAAGTTGTTTCACCTAAAATACATAATGTGGAGCTTATGTAGGACACAAGTAACTTTTATTTCAAATGAGTTAATGAAGTAATTGTATTTTAATTAAGGGGTGTGTATTCAAATCAGATTTTAATAGATTCTAATAGATTGTTTAAAATCGGTGGATTTGATATATTCCATGGATTACTTTAAGAGTAATTTACCTAAATAAAACTAAAACATAATGACTTTCTCAATATAGGACATTATGTTTTTATTTCCCAATGTAGGATCATTGATCATTATTTATTAGTCATTATTCAATTAAGGGGCTGTTTGTTTCAGCCTCTTAATGGTTCAGATGTCTGAATGGTTCAGCACTTAATGGTTCAGACTGTTTGTTTCAGCCTCTTAATGGTTAAGAGATTTGCCTCTGATTGGTTAAGTATTATACAGAGTCTGAATGGTTAAGACCTCTTATCTGAATTGATGAGACATTTGCCTCAGAATAGTTAAGCAATATACTAGCTCTTAATGGTTCAGACCTCTTACTGGTTCAACACTTAATGGTTCAGACCTCTTACTACTTCAGCACTTACCGATTCAGAAGTTGCCAAATAGCCCCTAAATGTCCAGTATCACTTAGACATTATTAAGTCCTATTTAGAGAATAAAAAAGTTTAAGTCGTACATTGGGAAATGACTTATGTTTTAGTCCTATTCAGTGCAAATTTCACTTACTTTAATTCTACAAAGAGTTTGATAGATTTTAGCGTATTTTATCAACATGATTTTAAAAGATTTTGTAAGATTATAAACATGCAATCAATATTGATTTTGTGGGATTATAGATTGGCAAAAAGAAGAAAACCACCGAAGATGTACGCGTCTTTCCCTATGGACTTTCAGATCTTTTTGACTCGGGAACCATAAAGAAGAAAACCACCCGAAGATGTACGCGTCTTTCTGGCTTTGCTTTCTCTTGCTTGATATTTGACTCGGCATCCATGGATTTTCATATCTGGATGCTATGGCGTCCTCTTCCATGTAAAGCTCCGGCCGGTCATCGTTGGAAAAATAGCAACTTTCGTCTTCTCCGGCTTCGCATCCTCTTCCATGTAAAGCTTCGTCTTCTCTGGCTTTCCTCTCTCTTTACTGCTGTCATGAAGCACTCGCCGGACCAAATCGTCAGACCAAATAATCGGACCAAAGCTCCACAGGAATTTCATCAGACCAAAGCTCCAAACCAGTGCCGACCAAAGCTCCAAAGCCTGTGCCGAATTTCACCTTCAGATCTATGCTCCCAAGTCCGTTGAAATCTTTGGGAATAGCCACAGATTTGTCACTGAATTTTTTTTTTAGAAAAATGACGCCAAAATCCATCAAAATCTATTCATAATACAAATCTTTTTAAATTAATGGATTGTTAAATACTTTTAGATTTTGGTGGATTTTTAAAAATCTTGATTGAATACTCTTAAATTTTAAATGATTTTATAAAATCTCAATTGGATATCCATTTAATTTTAAAATCAACAAAAATCCTAGAAAATCTAGATTGAATACACCCCAAAATACTGTCTAAGTAACCCCACTAAAACACCCCAGGTCCCCACTAAAGATGGTTTAAGATCCTAAAAATAAATTGGAAAAATCAAATCGTAATTGTAATAAGTAATAACTATTGGTTTCATAAGACCACTTCGGTGTAATTCAATGACCAAATCAGATTAGACCTATTTAAATTAACTATGAAAAAATTAGATTAGATTTTAATAAAGTGAAATTTGCACCGAATATGACTAAAACATACTCCCTCCGTCCCCCTGTATTTGTCCACATTTGACTTTTGGAACTGTTCTAGATTCGTGAAACTGAGTAGTTTAAGAGAGTTACACATTCGGATTTATATCAGTACACACTAGAACAAACTAAACAGAATTGTATATCTAATAATTATATATTAAAAATATTAAAAAATTATATGTTTAATATTCTATTTTACCTAAAAAGAATTGCATTGGATGGTGTGCAAAAATGAAAGTGGACAAATACAGGGGACGGAGGGAGTAAGTCATTTTCTAATGTAGAACTTAAACTTTTTTATTTCCTAAATAGGACTTAATAATGACTAGTGAGAAGAATAATGTTCAAGTAATGCTGGACATTTAGTTGAATAATGACTAATAAAAAATGACCAATGATTCACATTGAAAAATAAAAATATAAGGTACTATATTGAGAAAGTCATTATGTTTTTTTAGTCTTATTTAGGTAAATTACACTTTAATAAAATCAGATCAAGTGAAGTGAACAAGTTTTAAATTTTCTAATTTATGAAAAGAATACTACTTTCATTTTATATTAATTGTTAATTAATAATACTCCGTATAAAATAATAGGAATTTACAATAACACCCCTCTCAACAACCAATCAAGCACCGGTCCTGTGGGTGGGAGAACAACCAGTTTTGACTTGTCAAAGCCCAATATAGTGGAATTTACAAGAATATCCCTCTCAACTACCACTGAGGCACCCGCCCCCGGCCCCACCACCTTCTATGTCGTCTCCATTCTTCAATTCTTTCACCCACCAAAAACCAAACCCCCTCTTATAAAAGCCATCTGCCCTTCTCCCTGCCTTCCCAGGTGCCACTCCTTCTCTTCTTCTTCTTCGAGCTCCTACTGCACCGATCAGGTCTCGAAGATGGCTAAATCCCTCGCCAATGCCAACTCGCTCCTCCCCAACAAACCCTTCCTTCAAACCCATCAATCTATTTTGCCACCGAGCAGCCATGGTTTCTCCACCAAGCCCGCCAGATCCGTGAAACCCATCTCCGCCGCCCAATCCGCCGGCTCCTCCCAATCCCCCATTGTATCCGGCAAGTCTTCTCCCAAGCCCGCCCCGCCCGCCGCGGCAACCGCTAGGGCGACTACGACCGTCTCAAAACCCGCCACGGAAAAGACTGCGTGGTCCCTGGAGAGCTGGAAATCCAAGAAGGCGCTGCAGCTGCCGGAGTATCCCGATCAGGCGGAGCTTGAAGCGGTCCTCAAAACAATCGAGTCTTTTCCACCGATCGTGTTCGCAGGGGAGGCACGCAGCCTCGAGGAGAAACTGGGGGAGGCTGCCATGGGTAGGGCTTTCCTTCTACAAGGCGGAGATTGTGCTGAGAGTTTCAAGGAGTTCAATGCCAATAACATTCGCGACACTTTTCGGATCATCCTCCAAATGGGCGCCGTCCTCATGTTCGGCGGCCAAATGCCCGTTATCAAGGTCAGATAAAGCTCTGCATATTCAATCAGCAACATCATGAATTATAATCTACCCAATTTTAGGCGTCAAAAAAGAAATAAAAAATCTAATCTTTACCTGATTTATGCCGTAAATAAATTCTCAAAACCTAAACCCGGATTTTTGATTAGGTGGGAAGAATGGCCGGGCAGTTTGCGAAGCCAAGATCAGAATCAATGGAGGAGAAGGATGGAGTGAAGCTGCCAAGTTACAGGGGAGACAACGTGAACGGAGATGCATTTGATTTGAAATCAAGAACTCCAGACCCACAGAGGCTGGTCAGAGCCTACTGCCAGTCTGCAGCTACTCTCAATCTCTTGAGGGCTTTTGCTACGGGAGGGTATGCAGCAATGCAGAGGGTCACCCAATGGAACATGGATTTCACAGAGCACAGTGAACAGGGTGATAGGTATATATGTTACTACCTTTAACTTCCCTTGAAAAGCATCTGCAAGAATGTAACTTTGGCATTCCTTCTGCTTTACGGAGTTTATTGCAAATCTTGAAAAAGACGTTTTCTGAAATCAGGCTATGTTTGGATGAGCGAAAATAGTATGGAAATGGAAGAGAAGAGTTAGTAAAATCTTTTTTTTACATATCAGAAATAAGTTTGATTAGAACTTCTCATACAATTTCAAACAAATATCTAAAATTAAATTATTGAGTATGAGCCCATTTTTATTTTTATTTTTCATCCTAAAATTTTCCCCTTTTAGCGTTTTCCTTCATATTTTCTTGGTATTTTGGGGGTTCCGAATTGAGCTTAGAGGGGATGGGTTCCTAATTCCTGTAATTGAGCGGTTGGTTTGTTGTTTAAGATTTATGCTTAATTACTTAAAACTTACCAAACAGAAGAAACCACCTACTAAAAGATGGCGATTGATGAAGACCGAATATGGCTGAATTGAAACCACCAAATCCAACTCTAAGTTGTTCGTTTTAGTTTTCATTTTGAATATTTCAAAACCAAAGCAAACCGATGAATGCCCCTAACATACCAAACGTGGCTTTTGATCTTAAAATTCAAACTTGGCTTTATACAAAAAAAGTTCTTGTTTGGGAGGGTTCCAGATAATCTGAACACAAGTCATGGAATACATAGTAATCCCTGGATTTCTTTGACGTTCCCTTTAGGTATCGTGAATTGGCTCATAGAGTTGATGAGGCCCTTGGGTTCATGTCTGCTGCTGGTCTTACAATGGATCATCCCATCATGAAAACCACAGAGTTCTGGACATCCCATGAATGCTTGCATTTGCCATATGAGCAGTCACTTACCAGACTGGATTCAACATCTGGGCTTTACTATGATTGCTCTGCTCATTTCCTATGGGCCGGAGAACGCACCAGGCAGCTAGATGGTGCCCATGTTGAGTTCTTGAGGGGAATCGCTAATCCCCTTGGGATTAAGGTAAATATAGTCCTTACTGTTGTTTGCAAAACATTTAATGTTTTGGTCATTGTTTTTGTGTCGTGTTGATCGATTGAAACGGTGTGTGAATTGGAGTTCTAACAAAATGATATCAACTGCAGGTAAGTGATAAGATGAATCCAGATGAGTTAGTGAAGCTCATCGAGATTTTGAACCCTCAGAACAAAGCGGGAAGGATTACAATAATAACAAGGATGGGAGCAGAAAACATGAGGGTCAAGCTTCCTCATTTGATTAGGGCAGTCCGCGGAGCTGGCCAGATTGTCACCTGGGTTTCTGATCCAATGCATGGGAACACCATCAAAGCTCCCTGTGGTCTCAAAACTCGACCTTTTGATGCTATCAGGGTAAATATACTCACTTTCCCTTTTCAAATTCATCCAGATCTATATATATATATCCTTAATATTGTTGTCTGCTTCTTGTAAAAGGAATATTCTTGCTCTTATTTATTTACTTCCAAAAGTCTAATCTTTCACATTGCTATTTAGGAATAGATTTTGGAGATCTTATAATAATGTAACAATGCCCAAAACAAGTGGGAAGACCACATCCCTTTTAGTTTTGTAAATGGACACTTATATTGCATCATCAATTGTTATTGCAGTTTGGTACTTGAATCTAAAATGATTTGCTTAGAGAGAGTACATTTATGGTTCTGAATGAATTGCCTACCTGATGGCTGATATGTTGCCACGAAGTAGTAATTAGGTATGCCTTCTTATGGGGGGCTGGGCTGCCAAAGTTTGTCTTCTTATGGTGTCTTTGCAAGAGTAATTAAGGACAAGAAAGTCCCACTTGCAATGAGTAATATCCAAGAGAATATTCTGTTCCTGTCTAAATCTAGACAATCAGTGAAGGTGTGATGGTCTTTGGACCTCACATAAACCAAACATGTTACAATCATAGTTTGGGTAGTTGGGAATTGTTAGTGTCTCTCTGGGTTGGTTGCTTGGTTGGTGTACTTACCAAACCACAAACCATCGTAGGTTTGTTTTGTAAAAGAAAAAAAAAGACATTTCAATATATACAACAACATCAACAAACCTAGTAAAAATCCAAGAAACCCCCGGCTTCCAAGAAACATTCTAAGCAACTCTTTGATGATACGAGTGTTGTTGGATGGACATTATATGCAGGCGGAAGTGAGAGCTTTCTTCGATGTGCACGAGCAAGAAGGAAGCCACCCGGGAGGGGTGCACTTAGAGATGACAGGGCAAAACGTGACGGAGTGCATTGGTGGATCAAGAACCGTGACATTCGATGATTTGAGCTCGCGCTACCACACCCACTGCGACCCCAGGCTGAACGCCTCCCAGTCACTCGAGCTCGCCTTCATCATAGCCGAGCGCTTAAGAAAGAGGAGAGTTGGCAGCAGCAGCAGTGTAGGAGGACAGCAGTAGGGGAAGCGCTATCAGCATTACTCCCACTTTGTTTTTTTTTCGTTCTTTAAATTATCATATTATGTTAGTGTGAATTAAGATGCTACGTTTAGTTACGTTTTTTGGCACAATATATTATATTATTGTACGAAGTATATGTGCCTTGTGCGTGGGTTATTGGAAAGAATATGTGTTGTGTTTGTGAGAGTCCCTCCATGTGATGATGAATAAAGGAAAATTTTATTTATGTACATTGTTAGACAATATAATAATACTTCTACCTAAAAAAAATACTTCTAACTATGGTAGCATTAATTATGGTAGTTGTTGTATTCTAGTCAGCTTCTCTTTTGCTATTTCTTAATTCTTGTCTACATAGGACTTGTTCCTATAAGTACTCTGTATTTTATTCTGTGAAATATATTGTTCTTTTATATTCTATCATCACTGCTATGCGTCCTAATATTTAATTTGATGTGAACTATGTATGCCAACGAATGCATGTACCTAGGGGTGAGCAAGGACCGAACCAATCCCAATATTTCCTGAAAAAATCGAAAATACCGAACCTATAAAAGATCGGAAAGAAATTGAACCGTACCGAACCAAACGGGCGGTCCGGTATTTGGGAACGATACGAGGTTACTTTCCATACCGAAATTCCTGAACCGAACATATATACCAATATATTATAAAAATAATGATCTTTTTATATTTCTTCATTTAATAAAAAATTTATATAGACAATTTAGTTTACTTTCATTATGTTTAAGTTGCACATTAATAAGAGTTTTTTATTTTTGTAGATGAGTATAAGAATATTAACAAATATTTGAAATAATACTTTGTTATCACTCATTCTCTTTAGTTTGCAAAATATAAACTAACTTTCATAAGCATTTCTTGCATTTTATTTTTTCATTTTTAATTTTTTTATCTTTCTTTGGTTAAGAGTACTTTCAGTTTTTCAAAAATAAAAAGTTTTGTTACATTTTATGATGTAAACTAGGTACGTATATATGTATCCTGATTCGTACCGAAACCTATACCGAACCATCCTGAATCATATCGAACTGATGCTTCGAGATCCGGATCGATACAACGTAAAATCTCATACTGAACCGAAATATTTGGTACGATATCGATACGAGTTAAATATTGTACCACGTTCACCCTACATGCACCTACAAAAGATGATTTTCAGACATTAAAATGGATTTTCCGATTTGTCAAAGGTACTATAGACCGTGACCCGCCCTTTCAATCTGGGGACTTACAATTGACAGTTTACTCCGACTCGGGCCAATGACATGACGGATGGTCGCTCTGTTACCGGCTATTTAGTATATCTTGGACCGAATTTAGTATCTTGAGCACGGAGGAACAGACTCGGGTGTCTAATTCCTTTACGCAGACTGAATATCGAGCCTTATCCTCGACTACGGGAGAGGTTATATATGTGGCTAACTTATGTTTTGGTTGATCTTCGTGTTCTTGTGTCCACACCAGAGCTTCTCTGTGATAATCAGTTAGCTATTTGCCTTACAAAGAATCCTATTTTTCATAAACGCATGAAGCATGTAGGCATTGACTGTCATTTTGTTTGAGAAGAGGTTATTGCGGCCACCATGAATGTCTCACATGTTTTCTCCGGGGACCATCTTGCGGACTTGCTCATTAAACCTCTCCCCTCGCCACGTTTTCAACATCTTGTGTCCAAGCTTCCACTCGTAGCACATAGTTCAACTTTAGGGGGACGTTAGACAATAATAATACTTCCAATTATAATAGTATACTCCAGGGTACCTTCAAATGTGTATTAACTTATCCGTGAGAGACATTCCGTTCAATTCGAAAGCTTCGATTAAACTGAATAGATCGTATCCTTAAAGTATAAGAACTAAGGTTATTTTTGGAATTCCAAACCCCTATTTCTTAAAATTAATAGTATAACTGGCTTTGACGGAGAGTGAGAAAGAATATCCCTCGGGTAAGTTAATGTATATTTCGAGGTACTCCGGAGTATATTTTAAAAATAATGAAAATTACATAATGCAAGAAATTCTATTTAAACTTATATTTTTATAACTTGGTAAACTATAAAACTTGACTTTAAATAAGGCAAAAATTTAGATTTAGTCATAATTAAAACTTATATTTAAATTAAAGTATCACCCCAAATTAGCTTTAGTTATGACAAAAACATAAATTTTTAATAAAGTAACTAAGGCATAAAAGCACATCATTTTTATTAAAGTTATAAAATGAGTAATTATAACTAATAAAAATATAACAAGAAAAATTAATTATTAGCACATTCTAAAAATGACATGACATGTTGACGTGTCAAAAAATGGCCAAGTGTGTTGTCCACTTGTAGAACTCTCATGAAGCGAGTCTCAAATATTATAGTAAAGGAAAAGATTTAAATCATAGAAATACCAAAATTCTCCCCAATTAATCATTATTTAAGTAACATTATTTACGAAAGACTACGAGGGGTGTATTCAATTAAGATTCTGATGGATTTTGATATATTAGTTAAAATCGATGGATTCTATGAAATCAGCATATTGTTTCAAGTCTATGCAGATTTAAGTAGATTTTAATCTATTTTATTAGCAGAATTTTATAAGATTCTTTTGATTTATAAAATCTGCAGATTGTTTTAAGTGTATCCCTGGTCCGCAAATTATACCGTACATCCGGCTGTACAGTTAGAACCGTAGATCCGGCAATTAATTAGGCGAACAGAGGAACTGGGGCAAGAACGGACGAATCGATCGGCCATGAAGGAAGTTGCACGATGGGACTGGTTGGATTCCGGATCGGCGATTTGCGGATGAAGGTCCGGCAATTACACGATGAAGATAAAGGTTGTTTGGAAGTCCGATCGGCGGAGGACGATGAAGGTTGAAGGTGTGATCCGCGATCTGAAAGCTGCTTGATATGCGAAGATCTGATGCTTCTAATTGCTGGCGATGGTCTTCGGCTTCCTACCAGATTTCAACGACATATGGTACATGAACGATAGGTTGTTTAAGATTGAGTACTAGTTTGTATGAGAATGAGTATCAGTGAGTTTTAAAATGAATATTATGTTATTCGTAAATGAATATTCAACAAATTTGTAAAAATGAGTACGACATTATTTCTGAATGAGTATTGCGTTATTTCAGAATGTGTACCACGTTTTTCTAATGAACCATTATGCTTGTGCGAAAATGAGCACTACTATATACTTCGGAATGAGTACTACATGGATGTACCTATCTCTAGGTACATCCGGATGTCTCATCCCTGGTCTTCCACTCCCCATCACCTCATTTGTCCATGTCATTCTAGGTGCTCGCACAAGTCCTACAAGCAGCCCCAAAACAGCAGTTCCAACTTGTTAGCAGAGCTCCAAACTAATGCCAAATGCCAAATGAACCTGGGCAGCGAAGAAAATCCACCCTCCATGTAGTAATAGCAGCAACGTGAGGTGTTGGAGCCAAATTCAATGGCTTCCCAACACTGTGGTGTTAGAGAGGCAGCAAATTCAATGGCTTTTAGAATATGTTGATATATCGCTCTAATTCAATGGCTTCCCAAAAATGCTTAGATTCTAAAGTCATATATCGCTTAAAGTTCAGGTTTCATCACTTAACTTGGCCTTCAGCAGGTTTGGTTAAAAAGCATATGGGGGCGTCGCACATAAGCATTAATTGCAGAGAGATCGATCCGTTTACGTATCAACAATCGGTTGTTCATATATAGTCTATGACATATTTCTTTCTTTTTCACGACATGTTTTAATCTTGTATTTTGAAGTCGCTCACACTATACTACGCCCCTCTATATCATTTTCAATAATATATTTTACTTTTCTGCCGAGTCAAACTGTGATTCATTTTTTTGAGACATAAGGAGTTTAATCGCCATATTTACAAATAAGGCGGGATGAGTCGGGCGAGGAAAATCTTCCCATATTCGACGACCACTTCCATCACCCGACCAATAGATGGTCCAAATTGTTTGGATTTTTGGTCCAAAGAGTTTATCGAAAGAGTAGTTAGGTATTCATGTCGGGTCGGATTGGATCGAGTGAAATTGCTATATCGAATTATCGACTGGTTGGCTCTAAAACTCCGCTTTGTGTCGTTACCCAAAAAGATTGCCGAGAATAGTTAGGATTTTTACTCCCTTTTCACACCTCTTCCTTATCTTTTTTAACCATCCAAGCACTAAATTTGTTCTATTCATTTTTCTCACTATTTTTTTGGACCATGCTACACTTACACCAATAAATATACCTCATTTGTACACCACAGGTTTGCACAAACATTTCGATGGTTTACACCGACACAAGTGTTGGTGCGTTAATAAAAATTCACACGGACACAAATGTTGGTGCGTTTAACAAAAATTAGTTTTACACCAACACAAAATGTTGATGCAAAACTGCGGGGTACAAATTGGGGTACAAATCTCTGGGTACACATAGCATAATCCTATTTTTTTTTTCCTATGACTTTCTTTCTTACTCCGGGATTATTTTATTTTCCCTCATTTTCTCACCCCATCCAAAAACAGAGGGTAAAATTCTGCTCCTCCCGTCAATAAACTCCGGCTTGAGAAGGGTATCGGGAGATCTTTGAAAACAAGAGATCGATCGAGAAGGGAGTCCTAAAGCCGACCGGGCGTGTCGGATCATCGATCGAGAAGGGCTACAGCCGATGGCCTCCATCCCTCTGCGTAACACCCTATGAGGTATTTCTTCTTCACGCTCCGTCTCCATGGGCTCGACCGGCATTTGTGACCCAATTTCATATTTCGTGTGTGTATTTTTTTCTCTCTATCAAATTTCATATTTTTGCAGGTGTAAGGAACACATTTTTTGGTCAGTTTGGTGGATACGGTGATTTGTTTTGTATCTTGAATGATATATATTTGATCATGTTAGGGCTTTCTTTATTATTCCTACAACTACAACTGTTTCCTCTTGACTCAAAGGTAGCACGGTGTCATTGCTTTCAATATGCTTTGTGCTCTTGTTTTTGTCACTTGTGCCTTGCATTCTTGTACTTCTCTCCGTCCCAAATTGGTTTGCACTTTGCACAAAACAAAGTGAAATTTTAAATCTTTATGTGGGTTTCCAAGCATTCTTGAGAATCTCTTAAACCTTCAAGTATAATTCTGCATTGGCAAATCCTCAAGTTGTTTTTTTTTGTTTGTTTTTGTTTTTGTTTTGTTTTTGTTTTGTTTTATGGAGTAACTTTCAAATACCAATGGTGATATCTTATTTGTGCAGTCTAGTCATGTCTGAACCAAACTCAGGGTATGGACTTCTTTCCAATGGGCATGCATGTCACGATCCTGATTGTACGATTGATATGTATCAATTGAGTTGGCGATTGAAGGCATTACACGAACATTGGAATAAATATAGGGATGAACTTTGGGGCTCTTCTAATGTTCTAGCTATAGCAACACCTCCTCCATCTGATGACTTGAGTTACTTGAAATCTTCGGCCATGATTATTTGGTTGTTTGGATGCGAGTTCCTAGAAACAATTATGATTATCGTAGAAAAGCAGATCCATTTCTTATGTTTCGAGGAGGTAGCATCCTTGCTTGAAGCTGTGAAAGAAACAATTCAACATGCGGACTCTCTAGATATTGTCGTGCATGTGAAGTCAGAAGGTGAGGATGGGACTACACAGATGGATGCTATTTTCAATTCAATCCGCACACAACTGAAGTCACCTGTGGTTGGGTACATCGCAAAAGAGGCTCCTGAAGGTAAACTCCTTGAGATGTGGGCTGATAAGTTAAAGAATTCTGGACTGCAGCTTGGTGATATAACACATGGAATATCTGACATCTTAGCTTTAAAAGACCCTATGGAGATACAGAATGCAAGGAAAGCTGCTTATCTGACTGCTTCTAGAATGAAGTACTGTGTTGTTCCAAAGCTTGAGAAGGTCATATACGAGGGGAAGAAAGCAACACATTCTTCACTCTCGGAAGAGACAATGATGGCTGTGCTGAAAGAGTCTGAGAATGTTGGTGTTTGTTACGCGCCCATCTTCCAGAGTGGTGGGAAATTTGATCTCAGACCCAGTGCCATTAACGATGATGAAACTCTGTACTATGATTCTGGAAGCGTTATTATATGTGCTCTTGGGTCCCGATACAACAGTTACTGCTCAAATGTTGCTAGAACATATCTTATTGATCCGACCTCAGCGCAGATGAAGGCTTATGAAGTGCTTCTCAAAGCCCAAGAGGCAGCAATCGCTGCCTTGAAAGCAGGTAATAAGATCAATGCCGTTTATCAGGCGGCGCATGCTGTGGTTGAGAGGGATGCCCCCGAGCTGGTTACCAACTTGACAAAATCAGCAGGTTGGGGAATGGGTCTTGAGTTTTGGGAGTCGGGATTGCGGCTAAATGCAGAAAATGATAAAGTGCTGAAGCAAGGAATGGTCTTTAATGTGTCTCTGGGTTTTCAGAATCTGCAGGCTGAAACCATCAACCCAAAGAGTAGGAATTTCTCACTTATTCTTGCAGACACAGTGATTGTAACAAGTGAAAGCTGTGAGGTTGCAACCCAGCTGATCTCCAAAGCTCTCGAGGATGTGGCATACTCATTCAATCCGGATGGAGAGGAGGAGAAGCATTTAAGCAATGCATTGAACATTATCAACGAAGCTTTGCTTTCAAGGGCAATGCATCGCACACACAATCAACGCGAAGGGTTGGAAAGAGGGGCAAGCTTTGTATACATGGTGAAAGGTGAGGAGTCAGACAGTGAGGATGAGAGGTGGAGGAAGAAGAGTTTTGGTAAGTTAAGGGGGTTAGAGCTCCCTAGTATTGCAGGTCCCTCGAAGCGCCTCAAGTTCAGGTAAGATCCGTTTTCACTAGCATTGAATAAGTGGTTAAGCGAAGAAGCCTCTTCAACATTTTTGCGCAACTATCCTATTATTGTTTGTTTATTCCTTGCTACCTTCCAATGCCTGGTGGAGAGGTAGTAGGAGCACTGTTTTAACGCTTTCTTTCATTTGGTACTTGTAGAATGCATGTTTGTGTTGTTTTGGATCATCTACCAATCACATTATCACATTGGGAAAAAAAGTTGTGTGTGCTTATTTTATATATATATATATATGCACAATTCAAAATTGTGTGGCTGAGAGATTTATACAAACGTAATTATTGGAGGGATGCAAATAGAAAAGTAGAACCATAATATAATTATAATTTGAACAAGAGGGAGAACCAAATTAAAACTAAATTAAGAGCAAATAGGAAACTTTTTTTAATCTAGTTGGGTGCACTATTATGCCTCGGGTGAATCCACTTGTCCGGTTAAAATAAGAATAAGCATTCTAAACCAAATATTGATAAGGATTCAGGCCAACACATTTTCATTCTTGTTAATAACAAAATACTGTAGAAAATATATACTCGATGACAACTTTTTTATAAGAGGGAGGAGAGTTCAAAATTAGGCTTATGATATTTTTGGGGTGGGAGAGGAAATTAGAGTAACACAATTTGATATAAAATGATATGTGTTCATGCTGGGACGGCGTTTCTCTTTGGGGTTGTCCCCAGTTGATTCTACTAAGGTCGATTGTTTTTATTTTCTATTCTATTTATATGCAAACTACTCCTTGCGCCTGAATTTAAATCAACTCTTTCGGTTTACGATGTTTGATTGAAAATAATTTTTAATACAGTTTATTTGAGAATCAGAGTGTGATAAACAAATTTAAATTTCAATTTTCATTAGCAACTTTGATAAAATAAAGTACTGTGGTCCATACTAGTTTTGTAAATCTTTTGATGTAGTATTTAAATATGTAATTTTTATTTTTTTAACTCTATACAATTTGTCATTAAAATTGATTTGAAAATAATTTCAATCCACGTTCAACTTTGACTATCATAGTAGTATTAAAGCTCAACTAAGTTAGTCACCCACCCTTCAGAGATAGATGAGAGCTACTTTACCAGTTCTATCCAAGCTTTCCATCCTTAAGATATTACTCAAGAACTAATTATGGAGAGATAAGATGTGTAGAAGGTGAGAAGTCATCAATAATATAAACTAGTATTTTTAGTCGTGCGATGCACGAGGTCGATCGAATTTTTTGTCGATTCTGAACTTTTTTAATGTAAAATATTTTTCAAGAATCTAGTAAATATATTTCTTACACAATTTTTAATTAGTGGACAACAACGCCAAGAAATAAATAACATTTGAGGAATTGAGAGTGCACTTGAAAAAATATTTTTTCATTCCAAAATATTTTTCAATTTCAAAATATATTATTTAATTTAAATATTCTTGAAAAATGAAATATAATAATATTAAATTAAAACATACGAGTACTTGTTATTTGACTTAGAATTATTTTTATATATATGGAATAAAATTAATGCTATATTAAACAAACATTCCCATAAAGATCCCTTTCATTTTATATATTTGTCTCTCTTTTTTTAAATTGGAAAGTCTCTCCAATTAGTATTAGTTCAAAGTAAAAAAAATATTCACATGTAATTACCTTTAGTCCTACCAATCTATCCTTTCTTAGAATAAATTCATTTGTTTTGATTATTGTAACGCTTCAAAACCTGGCTTAATTAGTATTTTTAATTAATTTATATAATTAATTAGTTAGTTATTAAGTCGGTCAATCGGAAGATTATTTTCTAATTTTCTGCTTGTTCCAGTGCCCCGTTCATTCGTCTCTCTGCTCTATTCCCCGAACCGACACAATGCATCGTCCTCGATTTCCGTCAGTCTCACTGTGGGTTAGCGTCGTCGACCATCGTCCTCGTCCCATCCCTTCATCGCGTGTCAGACTGGCGAGAACAAGAAGAGTTGGGCAGCGGTTTCCTCTGCGACCCAATGCTAATTTTTTCAATTTTTAGGTGAATCGTTGTTCTATGCCTATCGTTAGTGCTAATTCGTAGATTAGGACTTCCTTAATGTATAATCTTGCCAGTTGATTGTGAAATTGGTTGTTGATTATTGATTTAGTGTAAATTGATGCTTTGGGGATAGTTGTCGTCTATTTTTCAGGCGATACGTCGACAGTAGTCTATCCAATATCTGGGCAGTGGCCTGGTGACGGTTTGGTGGTTCCAATTAGTTTTAATTGGGTTTAAATGAGTCCAATTGTTCTATTTTGGTTCAATTGGGCACAATTGGATCTGGTTGGGTTGATTTGTGTTTGTTAAGGTGCTGTAGGTGGAAACACCTGTAGCCTAATTCGTATTTCAATACAGTAGAATGCACGGGTGCTTTTACAAAAGAGTTTTAGTGAGAAGAAATCGGATTCTTCCCTTTGAGGGTTACAAAGGTATTTATAGTGATCAATGTGGGACATGCGCCGCATATCCACGTCAGGGCACGTTTCTAGGTGGTGTGAGGTGATTGTCTCTGTCTTCTAGCGGCTTTGTCATCTAGTTAGGAAGGTGACTTCCTTGTCGCGTAATATCTTGGACGAATTGCCAGAGTATCTCCAATGATCCTCCATTGGATTTGGCCGCTACTGTTCGATTTCTTTAGGATCCTTCTTTGCCGATACTTTACAACCCTAGAAATCATACCGGCTGATTTTTAAGGGATGAGGGTGTAAAGTAATTTGACCGGTAAACTTTCCGAAGTATACCAATGAGATTTTTCGGTCAACTGAATACACTCTGACTGTCGTTATAGGCTTACCATCCAAAAAATCAATCTTGACCGGTCTAGTATTTGAAGGCTTCCATTTGACCGGTTCTGGGTGGAATACACCCATCAGGGCCAAAAAAAGAGTTAACAAGATAATGTAAATCATGCAAGCATATTTAATATAACAGGTAAAAATGATTCTTCTTCCATTTTCTCCTCATTTGTTTTTAAATAATTTTTTTTGAAAATTATTCCACAAGAGATTTAGATTTTAAAACCTTTCCCAAATGATCACTATTATATATATGACGTGTGTGCGGATTGAACTCTTGAAAATACACAAAATAAATGTAGAGAGCTTCCTCCCATACTTAATTCATGCATTGTCCTCAATGTATGCCAAGGATAAAGAAATTAAGTAGTGATAATAGACATGCAACACATATCATGAGAAGCAAAATATAAAAAAAAACATAGAATCAGGGGAGTGGGGAAGATAAAGAAATAAATTCAGAAATATGAAAATAAATAATAGCAACTTCCATGAAAAAGTTGTCTCAAATTAAATTATCTGTTTACTATTGAAATGATTAAGTTTTATTTATTTTCTTTCTTTATTTTCGTTACTCATTTGAATGAATAATATAGTCATGTCAATTCTTATATGGTAGAGTTTTTTGGTGTAGATTTTGAGGATGCAAATTTTAATTTTTAAATCTACTCCAATTTTGAAATAAATTACTATATTGAAAATACACATATGGGCCTTAGGTACTCGATCCAAAAAGAAAAATGTTAGGGGTACACCTTTGGTGTACCCCATTTGTCCCCCACCCCTCCATCACCACACAAAAAGGCAAAAAACTAAAATAAAATTAAATAAATAAAAATAAAATAAAATTGAATGGTGAATAAAGGGGTGGGGGACAAATGGGGTACACCTTTTGGTGTATCACTAGCATTGCTCATCCAAAAATTAGGAGGGAAAAAAAGACTGTAAGGCTACGCTTCCAGACTGCGCCGGTACTCGATCCAAGAATTAAAAAAGAAAAATGCCCGCATGGGTAGCTCAGTTGGTCAAGAGCGTGAAATCTTGGACCGATGACCAGGGATCGAGTCCCGCAAGCGGCAGTGTGGGAGCTATCCAAAAATCTCATAAAGGGTGAGGAGGCTCCTTGTGCGCGGTGGGCACGGGTCTAGCGTTCTTGGCCGACTGAGTCACCATGATTTACACCCTCCATCATTCCTGTCGGGCAAGGGGTGGGGGCGCCTGGAGTGGGCGATTCCACCTTTTGGACCGAAGAATTAAAAAAGAAAAACCCCTAACCTCTCTGTCTATATATATAAACACACTGAGTTGCAAGAATTGAGGGTTATCGGGAAATCGCCTGATCTGCTGATACAGCACAAGGGAGAGCCACACCCTAAAAGCTAGCTGATAAGGTGGGAGAACCCTTGGCTATATAAACTCATCACCAAGTTCCCCATATAACCGGTGTGGGACAATGAAATCAGTTCGTATCATTCGACCCCCCATAAGGCCCAACGTCCTCGTTGGTCACGGCTACGTTTCACCAGGCCACCACTCCGTGGGCCACCACTCCGTAGGCCACCACTCCGAGTTGGCTCTGATACCATTGATACAGCACAATGGAGAGCCACACCCTAAAAGCTAGCTAATAAAGTGGGAGAACTCTTAGCTATATAAACCATCACCAAGTTCCCCATATAACCGGAGTGGGACAATGAAATCAGTCCTTATCATCTACCCAACTCAAAATTGCGTGGGATTATGGATGATGCTGTTCCATAAGAAGAAGTGTCATGTTCCTGGTTGCCAAACTGATCTGCCCAGCTCCTTCAAACGAGTTCACCCGTGCCGCCGCATCACCCGCTTTGATACTGGTTATGCGGACTCCGACTGAGTACTGAGTGTGAACGCTGAAGAAGTTATTATTCAGGGAATAAATTTTTATTTAGAAGTTGGGTTTCCCCTCTTCTCATCTGTATTTGGATATTGAGTTTAATGTTCCTGAAATTATTAATTATTTTCTTCTGTTGATGTGTTTGTGTGAAAATTGTCTATTGACCAATTCTTAATCGGAAGAGAAGAGACCTAGATTATTACCTTAAAATTTCAGCGAGTAATCGATTTTGCAATTAGGAATTGTTTCGAAAAGTTCCAGCAATCAATTTTAGCAATCTGCCTGAAATTAGTGTTTTCTTTTGTTCTATTTTCGTTTGGCCTGATTTCTGGAAAATGAACGTTTAGATCAAGAACAAAAATAGACCTTGGAATAAACATATTAGACAAATTAGTTAGAAATCTTCAAAAATCTTCTGTTGCAGAATCTTGGATTAATCCATGAGTCCAATACTGTAAGATCTTTGCCTTGGAGACGTCCCACAACTGTTTTCCGCACAAAGGAAGATGTCTGGCCCATATTTTGGTATGCTACGTACTGAATCTCATCTCTACTGTTTTTTTTTTATATTTTAAAATTAGTAAGATAGTTCTCATAGCGCACATACAAACCGGATCTAAGCCCATTTGATTACTCTATAGGAGTTATTGATGTGTAAGTTTGCCTGATATATCTTGCAACTGTATCTATTATATTCTTGATAAAGGCAAGCCCCATATTTATAATACTCACAATACTCCTTGTGAGTGCAAAATAGAGATCTTATATAACATTATTACTATTATGAATGTTACCTTCTCTAAAATAGAATATCAATGGTATGGATAATTAATAAGAAACTACTCCCAGTTACTATTAAGTATTAATAGAGATAGGACTTAGTTAATACTTATTATAACTACCATTATTATTAGGGCAAATTTGTCCCAGTGAATAAATGTATCCATGGATTGATATTGCACGTATTACTTTGTAAAACAAGTATTTTTCCAATTTGTGAGATGATGATGATTGGCTCATTTCAACTCTCAATTGCTTTGCTCAAGAGCCTCGCTGGAGTTTTTTCTTACTTGCAGTTCATGCGATCACATGCACTTGTTATGAAATTTCATGAAGAATGGGTTGTCCCAGTGAATATCATTGATGATACTCATAAGGAACTTCGATTCACCAGTCATTCTCTAGGTACTGTCTCGACCAGAAGAGTCCTAAGTAATCCTTTGTCTGAACTAGATGGGCTGATGGGGCTTCAGCGACAGACTGAATTTATTGAAAAAAATTGGCCGTCATTAACAAAAAAAGGGGTTCCTTACCATCAACACCCAACCAGCACTTAATGGAGCAAAGTCAGATTTACCTTGTGTTGGTAAGGGTTATCCCTGTGTAAAACGTCACACGTTAACTATTGACTTGGGATACATGAATGATCAAATGATGCTAAAATTTCATGTGTAAAAAATGCCATTACTCCCCATTTTAATCTTAGATAAACCATCATCATGAGCACCATGGCGAAATTGAAGTTATGGTGCAATGTGCCCCCTATTATTTTCTTTTGTCTGAAAATTGTCTATTGACCAATTCTTAATCGGAAGAGAAGAGACCAAGATTATTACGTCAAAATTTCAGCAAGTAATGAAAATCCATTTTGTAATTAGGAATTGTTTCGAAAAAGTTCCAGCAATCAATTTTAGCAATCTGCCTGAAATGATTGTTTTCTCTTGTTGGTGTTTGTTCTATTTTCATTTGGTCCGATTTCCGGGAAATGAATGTTTGGCCCGATTTCTATTTTCGTTGTCCCAGTGAATACCATTGATGATATTTGCGAGGTATGTTTTAGGTTGGGATTTGTCTTATGCTCACACTTCAGGTTAGTTTGCTTCCTGTTTATATATGATACTCATATGGAACTTCGATTCACCAGTCATTCTCTAGGTACTGTCTCGACCGGAAGAGTCATAAGTAATCCTTTGTCTGAACTAGATGGGCTGATGGGGCTTCAGCGACAGACTGAATTTATAGAAGAAAAAGAGGCCGACATTAACAAAAAAAGGGGGTTCCTTACCATCAACACCCAACCGGCACTTAATGGGAGCAAAGTCAGATTCACCTTGTGTTGGTAAGGGTTATCCTTGTGTAAAACGTCACACATTAACTATTGACTTGGGATACATGAATGATCAAATGATGCTAAAATTTCGTGGGTTAAAAATGCCAATACTCCCCATTATAATCTTAGATAAACGATCATCATGAGCACCATGGTGAAATTGAAGTTATGGTGCAATGTGCCCAGTAAACTTTAGGGCTAATCAACAAGAGCACTTTCTACATAATCTCTTCCCTTAACTATAATATCTAAGTTGGTTCATAAAGCAGTCCTTCATCTCAATTCATTTTTAGGGGCCAACTTTTGTGGGTTGGGGTGGTTATGTATATCAGAAAGCATATTTGGAGTTTCTCTGCTCAAGAAAGAAGCTAAATGCTCTAGTCGAGGAATGCAAAAACTTTGCATCTCTGACCTACATTGCAGTGAATAAAGGATGAACTTGGATTTGTGAATGCGGTTACATGGGGGTGTGTTTCCAGACCAGGAGATTATTTCAACCAGCAGTTGTTGATCCAGCCAGCTTTTTGGTATGGAAGGATGAGGCTTTTGAAACATGGTTTAAATGTTGGGGATGCCAGTACCCCGAGTTTGATCTATCCAGAAATTTGCATGACCAGAGGTACATGACTTCATTTCTTGAATTGCTCGTTTGGTCATTATAGTTTACCTCTCTTGACCGGCGATTCTCAGCTCTAGGAGACCTGCGGATTCTTCCTGATGAAATTATCTGCACCGTTCTGACTCATCTCTTCCCTAGAGACGTAGCTCGCCTCGCATGTGTTAGCAGGTCTAACTGCGTTTCATAACTGATTAGTCATGAATTTTCTGCTCATGTATTGAAGCTTCTATGATTCTTCTCTCGCATCCTTTTGTGTTTATTACGAGCATGTGCTGCTGATGTGTTTTTGTGTCAAATTTAGGAAGATGTGTGATTACTATAAATCATTACCAGGTTCCCATCAAGTGATTTTGTACTGCTTCTTCTTATTTTGTTTTTCTTTTACATTTAACACCGTTGTTCTTGGATTTGGCTAATGCATACATCACTTCAATTCCACGTGCTTTAACAAGTTCTAACCTTTGGATTTGTTTTTCTTTTACATTTAACATCATTGTTTTTCTCTCCTGTAAACGGATGCTGGGGTCATTGTGCAAGTGCTGACAACAACAAAAACATAGACTAGGAGGGAGATCTTATAAGAGCACGTCCTTGTCTCTTTTCTAAAACTGTATCCTGAGAAGATGTTTTGCAGTTTTAAACACAGTAATGTATTCATGTTCCTTCAACACCTAACATTCCAAACACCCCAAGAAGAAGAGAAAATATGAGGGGCCATCTAATAATGATATATTTGATTCATGTAGGTAGCAGCGGCAGTGATGGGCGAACCAGCGTCATGGCTCCGGATATTTTCGAGGCCTCCAATTTGTAAGCCTCAGGAACTGATGAAGACATTCTGTGGACATAGGCAAGCTTTAGCTGCAGTAGCCCATGCATACAGCAGGTGCCGTAAGCGGAAACAAAAACCCTTGAGTTCATTTGTTGTGGTTGAGTCTTCGGGTCTATACATAGAAGAGTTTGCAAAATCTTGATCTAAGCTGATATTTGATTCAAGTGGTGCCCTTATCCGAATGGATATGTATGGCAGTGCTTCAGGGTAGGCATTACTGTGTTAGTAACAGACTGAGTATTGGCTTGTTGCAGAACTTTTCATTTAACTGAACCTGTGTTATATTTGTGACAGTGGTAATCTGGAAGAACTGTTTGATGGTGTGAGGAAGAGGCCCCATGGTGTAATCATTTTCAAGAATATATATATAGAAGAGGCCAACAATTCTGTGTTATTTATCTTGAAGCGAATTCTAAGGAGTGTTATGCATCGGATGAGAGTCAAAATGCAGTTGATTTCACCAAATCTATCAATTTCGTGCTTTTGCACAGACAGTCACCATTTTGCATTAACGTTTGAAGTTGCTTGTACATTCTTAAATCCAATTCCTTCAAGGCACATTTGGGAGCAATGTCAAGTTCCTCCTCATGTCGATGTGTAGCCGTTCTTGAAGAGGTTAGATGGGATGTGATCAGCTGGTTTGTCTCATGACTCTTACTAAGGGCTAACACGCTTGTTTTTTATTTGTGGCAGGCAAGGGGTCGCGTCGGTGCAGAAATATTGGAAGTGGTGGATGATGTCGCAATGTTTGGTTTGCTATTTTCGGGTGCAAGTTTTTATCTTTTGGTGTATGCAAGATGCATATCGAGAGAGATTGCAAATGATGTCTGTCGAGGTCTTATTCTGTACCCTTCTGAGGCAGCATCGAAGGCAATCCTTTGCCGTAAAGCGGGGAATATCAATGTAAGTTCTGATGTCATTGAGCTTGTTGTATTTATATCTTTGCTGGCACACAATAGATGACATGCTTATTTGCCGTGGTGGTGGCCTTTTACATTTATCTTTTTTGTTTCAAGCGACGACGATTCTTGTTTGACATGTTGATGATGTACTTGTATTTTCTTCTATTGCTTCCTGCATAGCGTGTTTGTCCTTAATTTTTGTAATTGTAATTTCTTCTTCTTTAAGGGATGTTTCGTATTAGCGAATGAAGTATTTTGCTTAGCCACCATATATATGACGCTGACTAGGCAATGCTATGTTTTTATGCGTGCGTATATATCTAGAATTGTGAAATTCATAATTGCATGTATGCACCTGCTGAGTTTAGCTTGCATGTGAGTCTTTGAGCATCTTTATGTGAGTCCGTTCAGTATTCTGGTATTATTATTATTATTATTATTATTTTGATTCCTTGCCTAATATTAAAGTTATTATAATTTTTGTTATATTTTTAATTATTGAAGGGAGAGAAGGCATGCAGTTTAGAGTTGGGTAGAGAATCATGTCAGACCTATGCTAGAAGACTTGGTAAAAGAAGGAAGAATTAATGAGAAATCAGTAGTAATTGTTGACAAGCAAGCGGGCACAAAGTGAGATTTGCTACCTTATAGAGAACAGAGAAGATCACTGTAGAGGTGCACTTGCGACCTTTATTTTATCGATGGTGTGGTTTTTGCAGGAAGCTCAGAGTTTTCAAATTAGGGAAGACAAAGTGGTGTGTAAGGTAGACAAAGTGGTGGGGGCTTTCAACCCTTTTGCCATTCACCAGCTGGAGAGATCAGTGGTTGAGGGTGGTTTGCCAAGGAGAAGAAGAAGAAATAATAAGGAGATTGCAGCCAGCTTTGGTTTCCCATTTATCCTCAATTCATTTAATTATGCAAACATTTAAATTTAATCGCAATTATAACTTGTATTTCAAGTTATGACAAAAACATAAACTTTTAAAAGCGCATCATTTCTTTTTTTTATATATCAAAGTTATAAAATGAGTCATTATAACCAATGGAAATATAACAGGAAAAATTAATTATCAACACATATTCTTAAAATGACATGATGACATGTTGGCGTGTCAAAAATTGGCCAAGTCTGTTGTCCACTTGAAGTGAGTTCTCAAATACTAGTATTATAGTAAATGAGTTTAAATGATAGAAATACCAAAATTCTCTCAATTAATCATTATTTGTGTAACATTATTTATGAAAAACTACATAGGAATAAATTTCAATTATAAAAGACCACATATAATAATTAGAACTTACTAGTGATTGAATTTGAAAAATTCCTTCCTAGAAAAGACCTTTATGAAAATTTCCTTTTTTTCAATATATCTTTGTTTTAAGGACAATTTTTTTTTTCAATATATCTTTGTTTTAAGGACAATTTTTTTAATAAACTTTTGTAGTTCTATTTATGTACCTTCCTAAATAAATAATATTTGCTCCGGTTCTAAATATTCTTCATGTTTTGATATTTTTTGTCAAATAGTGACAATCTTTAACCATTGAATTTATATTATAATTAAATATATACTTTTTCTCATAATTTATGATAAAAAAATCACTGTTTGACTAAAAAAAGTCAAAACATAATTTTTTAAAGGACCAAAGCGAGTATAATGTGCAAAAGTGTCACTGTTTTAATCTTGTATTCTCTCTCTCTCTCAGATGTATTCATTATCTTCTTTTCAATGAGTTTGAAGCTTCACATTTATCTAATAATGACTTTTAAGCCAATATTATGTACCGTGCGCAACCCTTGTTATCAATAAAAATCCACCGTTTACAAGTAGGGGTGGACACGGTACGGTTCCGGTTCCGGTACCGCCACCCCTTGGTACCGGTACCGGTACCGGACCGGCCGGTACCGGTTCCCGGACCGGCCGGTTTTCGGCCACCCCCAAATTTTTTTTTTTTTACTTTTTTATTAAATTTTTAAAGTGTAAAATTGTAAATATGAAATTGTTAAAGGAAAGAATGAAATAAAAAAAATCTAAAAATGCAAAAATTTTGAGAAATTGGCATACCGAAACTGGAAAATACAAGAGTTTCATAGTGGAATTTACAAGAGTTTCATACCGGAATTGGTTTCATAGTGGAACCGAAAAATACAAGAGTTTCATACCGGAACCGGAAAATACAAGAGCCATTGGGCTGACGCCTGACCTGCTTCTTTTCCCGGATAGGGAATTTGTAAGCTTCGTATCCCTGTTGCTTCCTTTCCTAGTGGTTGTGCTTCCTTTCCTTTTGAGAATTGCATTTTAAAAAAATCTAAAAGTGCAAGAGTTTTGAGAATTTCAGCTCATGGACACGAAAAGTTAAAAAAAAAACAGATGGGTACCGGAACCGGAACCGCCGGTGCCGGTACCGAAAAATGGGTACCGGAACTGGTACCGGAACCGGTACCGGATGGGACGGTTCCGGTACCGGTTCCCGGAACCGGTGAACGTAACGGCCGGCGGTGACGGTGGCGGGTACCGGCGGTACCGTTGCCGGTCACGGTACCGTACCGGTACCGTGTCCACCCCTATTTACAAGGTACAGACAAAAAAGACCTATGATTTTCTTCCGACTAGGTTTTCACGTCAAAATTCTCGTATTTGTATTTTGGTATATTTTGTTAGATTAGTTTATCGTTTTTGTCTGGCCAAGAACAATATACCAGTCGAGATAATTTACACCACCATATTTTGTTTTCAATTTAATTTAATTTATTATAGGTGTATAATTAAAAAATAAAATTTATATATTTAAAACTACACTAAAAGTTTTACAAAACAAAAGATGACAAGACTATGATTTCTCAAATAACTAATAAATATAGGTAAAGATTGTGATTAAAGTTTGAACATTTGAATAATAAATGGGAATAACGTTTTAGATTTTAGGACGGGGGAGTATAATATAATATGGATCTTGTGTAAATTATTTCGACCGGTATATAATTTTTAGCTGGGTAAGAATGATAAACTAGTTTAACAAAATAAACTGAAACATAAACACAAGAATTTTGACCTCGAAACTCAATTGAGAGAAAACCACAAACTTTTTTTGCAATACCTTGCCACACAGAATTTTTATTAATATTAGAGAGATTTACACGATACATACTGCTGGCGTAGAAGCCATTAATGGAGAAGCTACAAAGCTTCAAGCTCTAAGAATTGGAAAATACAATGTATATATAATCTAATGTGAGAGAGAGAGAGATGGGCAAGGGAGAGTCACAAGAGAGGCCTCCCTTTTTAACGAAGCAAAGCCCTCCTTTCATAGGAAAAGAGGAGGAGCATTTTCTAGAAGTATTCTTTTATTCCATCACTTTACTAAACAAGCTTAATTTGAATGTTCTTCATAAATAATTGCAAAATGTGAGTCGGGTCACATATTATTTTCTATCAGTATGTGTTTTAAAATTTAAGAGAAATGAAATAAAAATACACAATATTATGAAGTATATTACACTTTCAAAACTCAACAAAAAAATGATATTAGTTTCGAAATTTGATATAAAGTAAATTGAAAAAATTTGAAATTCTGACTTAATTAATGATGGACAGAGATGACTACAGAGTTAGTTAGCCATAACTTGTAGCCGATAGGCATTCACAAATATCTAACTATCACCTTGATCATTTTTATTAGATTCCGAAGATATCAAAATGATTGATTTGAAATTATTTTTGAAAATGATTTTTATTATGCTTAAGCAAATAAAAAAATGATTTCGATATGAGATTCATATTTTATGCTACCAAATATTATTCCCAGGTCCCAAAGAACCAAAGCCATCCATGTCTTCGCGTACCCACGTTATCGACACGGTGGAGAAATTAAAGAAATTCTCAGGGGCCGCCGTCCAGCCTAATTTTGACGCCATGGGGAGTTCCATCGAATCAAGTTGAAATACGGATTCCGGAGGAAAATAGGAAACCCGAAAGCCTCAGACAATATTAATTTCAATCAGCCAGTTACTGGTTTCAGCTTGGAGCATTAAAATGGAGGTGGAAGATAGTCGTCGATCGCCCAAGCAATCACAACCGTCCTCGATCGACGCGAAACCCATTGACCGGCGATTCTCAGCTCTAGGAGACCTGCGGGTTCTTCCTGATGAAATTATCTGCGCCGTTCTGACTCATCTCTCCCCTAGAGACGTAGCTCGCCTCGCATGTGTTAGCAGGTCTAACTGCGTTTCATAACTGATTAGTCATGAATTTTCTGCTAATATATTGAAGCTTCTATGATTCTTCTCTCGTATCCTTTTGTGTTTATTACGAGCATGTGCTGCTGATGTGTTTTTGTGTCAAATTTAGGAAGATGTGTGATTACTATAAATCATTAATTACCAGGTTCCCATCGAGTGATTTTGTACTGCTTCTTCTTATTTTGTTTTTCTTTTACATTTAACACCATTATTTTTGGATTTGCCTAATGCATACATCACTTCAATTCCACGTGCTTTAACAAGTTCTAACCTTTGGATTTGTTTTTCTTTTACATTTAACATCATTGTTTTTCTCTCCTGTAAACGGATGCTGGGGTCATTGTGCAAGTGCTGACAACAACAAAAACAAAAGACTTTTATCCCAAGTAACTGGGGGTGGTCATTCCCGGAGATGTTCAAACACCATTTCTTTCATTGTGCAAGTGCTGACCTAGTATAAAAATAGACTTTCAAGCTTCACATTGCTTTTCTATTGAATGTGCTCGTGGTTCTTGAATATTTAGACGATCCGCACCACATTCCTTCACATTGTAGTTGAAATATCTAGAAAAATTTACAAGGAATGTGGTATGCGACTTACAAAACCAAGTATGTGATGATCACATTGTTAACCAGGGGAAAACATTATTGAAATCAGTAGATGATAATAATATATTGGTATTCTTGATATCCTAAGATAGAATTTGAAGTTCTCCAAACAACAAGCATTTTAAATGTGTTTGTATATTCATGTGAGGTTATCATGGGATTTGATTTCTTAATCTTCAAAGAAACAAAGTAGTGTGCATCATTTCTTTGGCCAGGTTCAAGAACGGTTGCTGATTACTCAGTAATATTTTGCTGCAACTGTTCAACTTTAGGTCCATGTATTTATCTGCTGAAGTCAATTTAGATGTTATGAAATTGTGAATGCTATCTGTGACCTCTCAGTTCTTTGTTTTTCATGTTTCTTACTTCATTTTGTAGTGTATTGTATATTTTTTGCAATGAGGAGCCCCTGTGGATGAGCCTATGCCTTGACAGTATCCAACATCCACTTCGGTACAGAGGCTCCTGGAAGAAAACAACAATGGATCAGTATGTTTCTGAAAGAGCTTAAAACTCGATAAGCCGAATCTCTTCTCTCCCATATTTCCAGATAAATAAGAAAAATATTTATTTGTTTCTTGTGTAGGATGGACCTGCCAATTGAAAGTGTTATACCCTGTCAGAAACAATTACACTTTGACGGTAATCTTTGGTTCAATATAGACTTTAGTAGACTTCCTTCAATCCTTGGTCACATGGTGAATCCGTCACTGTCAGTTCATTCTTTCAACATTTATTAGATCTTTTCCTTGCAGGATTCAATTCTCTGTTTCTGTACCGAAGACTATACCGATGCTATACTACTCTGAATGATTTTGGTTATGATAGTGGAAATGTGGAAAGGACAATATGCCTCTCTTTGGAACTGTTTCATGATAAGTATGATGGACAGAAACCGGTATGGCATTTATCAACATATAGAAATGAGAATTTGTGGCTTAGCATGAAATGAATAGTTTTTGCAGCTTTTGTTAGCTTAACCATAACTATGTAATTTTTACTCTTGTCACATTTTATTTTACATGTTTTTTCTTCCAATTTCAAGCTAGCCTCGTTGGTTTGCTTTCCCTTCATTTTTTCTTTTTTCCTTTCAAGTTCTCTTTCAATTTTAGTATTTATGTGTGGTGTGTTTAGTGACGTTTATAAAGCTGTTTCTAAATAAAAAGAAAAAAATTTGCAAATATAAATAATATCTTGCAAAGAGGAACTGCATGTCTATTTAAAACAGCATCTCAACTCCTCACAAGTAGAAGCAAGGTCCACGAGTATGCATACATCCTACCTTTCCTAGACCCCATGTGTGGGATTAGAATGTATTTGTTGTTTTTCTTAAAAGAGGTGGGTAAATAAGTCCCTTGCATGTCAATTTCTTTGCTGTGAATTTCTCTTCACACGATTTAAAAGGCATGATATTTATAGTGTGTGTGCTACATATGCTTTTTGCTGTTACCAAATAACAATTGGAATTAGGTTTTGATCGGTGGATTAGCGGATTCTTGGCTAGCTAGGAGTGCATGGACAACAGAGCAATTAGTGTTGAAGTATGGAGATACACAATTTAAAATATCTCATAGGGGCCCTAAGAAAGTTATCATGCAACTTAAGGACTATGTGTCTTACATGGAACTTCAGCATGATGAGGATCCTCTATATATATTTGATGAGAAGGTGCCTTCTTTGTGCTACTTACTTTTACATTTCATGCGGTTTATCCTGCAACGTGTACAAATGGAGTTCATGATTTATACAGTTTGGGGAAGTTGCTCCTGGACTATTGAAGGATTATAGCGTTCCATACCTTTTCCAAGAAGACTTTTTTGATGTATTGGATAGAGACCAACGCCCCCCTTTCAGATGGATGATAATTGGACCAGAGAGATCTGGTGCTTCTTGGCATGTTGATCCAGCTCTTACTAGTGCTTGGAATACTCTGCTTTGTGGATGCAAACGGTAACTGTAAACCTAGAGAGTATTGATAAAATTCCCACTCATGGAAATGCCCTGCTAAAGTGGCGTAGCAGAAGCTTTCACTCTTTGGTAAAAGATGTGTTGGTAATACATCAACATTTAGTACCTAGTACCATATACTGCATGGATTTCAATGTGCAAACATGTACCCTACAAATCAGCGAGTGATTATTTTCATTGTATCAGCCTATCAGGGTTTAATTAATTCTTAATAAAAAAAATTGGACGTTAATAGTTCATAAATTGAACAGATCAGTTAATTAGTCTTAAGTAACAACGAGAAAGCCTTTATCCCATGTAAGTTGGGAATGCGTTTTGGGTAAATTTCATAATAAATCGATAGTGAACTCGAGCATATTTTTGGAACAATTGTAGACAGATTGTTTATTGTGAGCAGCACTGTAGATGGCTTTAAGTGGGTTTCATGGAGTATTTACTATTCCCTCTTTTTTCTAAGTTTGCGTGCCACTCTCACGTCCCAAAATTAGTAGGATGGAGGGAGTACCGTTTAGTGATTGAAAGATGCTTAATCCATGCACGAAACAGAGACAATGGCTTTGTTTGGGAACGACGTTTTCAATTAAAGTTAGCATTTTGGATAATTATTTAATGGTGCACATTAACTTTGAAAGATATCCTTTTCAAAATGCTAAAGCTAAACTATGAAGTTGTTGCCAAATGGGCACAATATGCATTTTAACCTTAAAATCATAACATTCTTTCCTATTTTCTTTTCGAGCATTTTTATTTTTTCTTCTACTCTTCCAGAAGCCTGGGCCCTGGCTGCCAGATTAATTAAAACACTTTTTTTTGAAAGGATAAGTAATGAATTATTTGAACTAATTAATGGTATAATTTGAAGGTTCGGGAAAAGGAAAGAACAGTGTGATTGTAGAGTACAAATAGAATAGACAGAATGTAGCCTTTATGAATTTGACTAGGTGAAGTATGCCATTTACTTCTGAATGTCATTTGAACATGTTATCCTTTTCAAGCTTTATATATGTGCCCTGATAATTATATGATACATTGTTGGAAATAAATATCTTTTCTTTGAACAGGTGGGCATTGTATCCTCCTGGAAGAGTGCCTGCAGGAGTGACAGTACATGTGAATGAAGAAGATGGTGATGTCAATATTGACACTCCATCTTCTTTGCAGGTGCGTGTGTGTTACTGTGTATAAGAAAAATATCTTAGTGGATAAAATATTCATCTGCTCTGGTTCTCTTCACTGACTCTAATTTTCGTGTTCCTTTAGTGGTGGCTGGACTTCTATCCCTTTCTTGCTGATGAGGACAAGCCAATAGAATGTACTCAACTCCCTGGAGAAACAATATTTGTTCCAAGTGGGTGGTGGCATTGTGTGCTAAATTTGGAGACCACTATTGCTGTCACACAGAACTTTGTGAATTCAAAAAATTTTGAATTCGTATGCCTGGATTTGGCTCCTGGCTACAGACATAAAGGAGTTTGCCGTGCTGGACTGCTTGCCTTGGATGACAGCAGCTTTGAGGATGTGAGGAAGAACATGTCAAGTGTGGGAAAGAGTTTTAGCTACTCTGACCTTACAAGAAAAGAGAAGAGAGCTAAAGTTACTCAACATGTTGACAGTGCAAAATGTGAAACTGCTAGAGATGATGATCCTGAATTTAATGACACAAGAAATCTGAAATTCTCTTATGATATAAATTTCTTAACCATGTTCTTAGATAAAGAAAGGGACCACTACAATTCCTTATGGTGCTCAAGTAACTGTATTGGGCAACGAGAAATGAGGGAATGGTTATCACGACTTTGGCAAAAAAGGCCAGCACTGAGGGACCTAATTTGGAAGGTATTGCCTTTTAATATTCTCTGCTTATCCATGCTTGGATTTTGAACCACTCTACTTCTTCACTATTATACTAAATTTGTGTTGAACTTGTCTGTTCTAAAATTATGTATCTAACCCATAGTCATATTTTGAATCTGAAATTGCCTAGGGAGCCTGTATTGCACTGAATTCTAGCAGATGGTTTGAATGTCTTGAGGAAATTTGTGTCTATCATGAGTTGCCTTTACCTTCAGAAAATGAAAAGCTTCCCGTTGGGACAGGAAGTAATCCTGTACGTATTTTGGCAATCAAATAATTCATATTTTAACTGGTGTGTGTGTGTGGGTCCGTATCATTGTATTAAAAGGATCTGTCATTGTACTCTTTATGGAGTTGTTGGGTGAGGGTACTTCCAAAATTAGAGGTCTGTTGTGATATTTTGCATGGATTTTTCCTTACACTTTAAATCTTTCTCACTCAAAAAATCAAAAGAAAGGGAAAAAAGAAATTAAAGAAAAAGAAACCAACCAATGAAGGTGGTGGAATCTTCTGACAACAAGCAAAGGTGACAGTTCATTCTAATAAAACGTGTTTTATAGGTTCTATTTCTGTACAGGTCTATCTTGTTTCTAATGAAGTGATAAAGATATTGGTTGAAGGAGGCACAGAAGCTTCTCTTCATTCATTGGGGACTGAGGTGCCTTCATTGTATAGTATGATGTCTTCTTTACCGCCTACTGTTGTTCAATTATTCTGTATTCTTATGATTGGCCTATGCCTTTTCAGCTTGAGTTTTACAGTACTCTCAAGAAAGTAGGCTCCCCACTGAAAGATCATATCCCTGATGTTTTGGCCAGTGGAATTCTCTATATTGAAAATGGGCAGTGTACAGTTATTCCTTGGAATGGAAAAAATGTTCCTGAGGTGAATTCTACTTCTCTTCCAGTTATTGGAAAACCTCAACAGGGGGATTACCCGTATGGAATATGGAGCAAACTGCAATTCAACTTTAAAAATGTGGGAATGTCTCCACATGAATTGGAGACAAGCAACAATTCAAAAGTATGGCCATATGTGGTGACTCAAAGATGCAGAGGAAAAATATTAGCGAACCTGTAAGTTGGACATTATAACTTTGAAATATTTTGATGTTATTGGTTATTACGGAGTACTGTTTATCCAGATGAAGGATTCTTGCAGCTGTTTTACTTTGTTTTTTTTCTTTTTTTTTTTGCAGAAGGGAATCACTATCATGGGAAGATAATCTGGACTTGGCCTCCTTCCTTGGAGAACAACTCAGGAACCTTCATCTTGTGCCATGCCCATCTTTGGATTTCTCAACAATGTTAAGAAGCAATGAAGAAACAATGCTGGATTCAAATGGTGTTGTACAGCATGCTGTGATTTGTAGTATCCCGGAAAAATGGGATTTTTTCATCAAAACACTGAACAAGAAGAAGGAGGATGCATCTAACCGCTTGACTAAATGGTATGCCATTTTGCGTCAGTTGATACTTTTCATGAAACTTTCCATAAAATAGTCTTCACTCCCAACAGCTTTGACACTTGGATGCTCTTGGTCCTAATATCGGGACTCCAGTTAAGCTTGGTTGAAACAAATAAAGATACCTAAAACTTGAGGGCAAAAATGACATTTCGTCAACTTGAAACCTGATAACTCTTAACTTCAACAATTTAGCAGCTATTTTCTTTGTTCTTCTTTGGCAAAGACTTGGGTGGCACCCATCACCAACCCCTGCCCTCACTATTTCACTGACACGGCTGCCACCAATTGTTAATCCTGCCACAAACTCCAGAAGACTGTCTTCATCAGCTAGAATATACCATGGGGAATGCAAATTAAACATAAGTTCAGTTTTCCTAGTTACAACAATCATCACAACTTACATAATGTAAGTGAACCATATAGAGATTGTCTGAATATTTTCCACCAATTTGCAGGGGTGATCCAATTCCAGATGCACTGATAGAAATAGTCAGTGGATACCTCCCTGACAACCTAGCAAAGCTCATTTTCATCTCTGAGGTGTGTTTTGGAGTTCTTGGCTTTCTACAGTGCACTACTATTCTTATTATATCACTCTTATTCATACACAAGCACATAACAACCCTTATATATAGCATTGATCGTTGATATTTCCCTTATCAAGGATAGTGCAAGAGTTCACAAATCTTGCTCCTGGATACACTCAGATATAATGGATGACAATATCCACATGGAGTTGTCTTACCTAAAGACTTGCTTAGAAAAGGATAATAAACAGGTGGACAATGATCATGTAATTGATACTTCTAAAAATAGTGATACTAAAAGCTCGTGGCGTGCAACCCACATACTTGATTTCAGTGGCTTATCCATAGGTGAGTTCATAGACTTTATTTTTATCACCATCATCCCATCTGCACTTGTCACTTTGTCAGTTTTTACTCGGCATATTTGTTTGTTTCTTTGACAGGTGACCCACTTTTAGACCTCATTCCAATATATCTAGATGTGTTTAGAGGAGATTCAAGCTTGATGAAGCATTTTCTAGAAACCTATAAGCTTCCATTGTTATTAGGGCAAGAAAAGCTGAATGGATTAGGAGATGGCAGCAGATATGGCCGACTCTCTTATCATGCCATGTAAGTCACACATGCTACTCCATATTTCATCGTAAAAACCTTGGGTGTCCCCAAGGTTGACACCAACTTTGACAACTTTGTGTTTTTGCTCTCACAAACATTAGCTCACCACCGCACATACATCTTTGTGAGAGCAAAAACACCTCAGTTCTCAAAGTTTGTCAGTCTTTGGGGAACCCTAGAATCACCCACATATTTTATTAATGTGCCATTCATGTTCTTGATGATGTCATCTTCTGAACTGTTTTGATGGGTGTTGCATATCATATACGTACAGGTGCTACTGCATACTTCATGATGACAATGTTTTGGGAGCGATTTTCAGCATTTGGAAGGAACTGATGATGGCAAAGTCATGGGAGGAAGTTGAAGACGCTGTTTGGGCAGATCTCCTAAACACTTACACCCCTGCCGGATCCTATTGAGCTTATTTTGCCACTTGTCTCTGATGCAACCACATATTTTCATTTTTCTTGATAATCGTGTTGGTTCCGATGCAAAACTTTCTTCCAAGGATGGAGGTTACAGAGTATAACCTCATCATTCCTTCATAGATAAAATAAGCCCTGTTGTGAGTATAACCCTGTTCCTTAAATAAAGTTCTTGATTTGATTCGTGTACAATGTACTCGTTGTATCACTCTATCCTTATGAGGTGGCAGGACGATATCTCTATCTGCATATCTTTGTATGGTGCACGTAAAACTCTCCCCGAGCTTCTTTGTTCGTGAAAAGTTAAATTGTTAAAAAAGAGTGGGAGTGAGAGTGGGAGTGGGAGTGGGAGTGGTAGTGGACTGGTGGTCGTGGTGGTG